AGACTACCTCTTTAATAACATTTACAATAGGTTATTTAATGGATTGCTGCAGAATGCAAGGGATTGGGCTTCAATGGAGACTGAATCAATTTGCGCCCCTGCAATTATATAGTAAAACTCACACAATTCGTATCGGTTGGGACCATAACATTTAATATGACTTGCGTAAGTCCAAGTTGCAGGGAAGCTGTGTAAGTCGTACAAAATCTGATGATGTCAATCCACACTGTGGCATTGGTAATTAGAACACATGATCACCAGAAATGTTAATGCAAGTCTTGATAGTTTGAGTTTTTTTTACTAACTTGAGAGGAAGTTGCATGTAGTTTCCAAACTATTCAGGTACAAATTTATAATGAAATAAAACCCATGCTGTAAGAAGGCACTACTTGTTTTGTTGTGGATTGACTTAGCAGTTCAACTTATTGTGCTCAGATGAAAATTGAAGGGCTGCTGCCAACTTGGGTTTCATCCAGACATTCCGGAAATTTTGATATTGTCAGTTCATGCCAGTCACTTTGACCAATTTCAAAATCACTATAGTTGCTTGAAAAAAAGTCCCACTGATTGAAAGAAGAGGGTCTGACCAGATTTTGGCAAATGTGCCTTGCACAATTGAGGATAAATTAAATTGGAAATGAGAATTTTTCTGTTCCTGGCTAATAAAATGAAGATTCTGCTCAGCTTGGCATGCAGCTCTGGCTCAGTGACAGTTCTGTTTTAACATGTTTTGCACATTCTTTCAATCTTAAGTAGACTTGTGATGGTGTTGGGTGTGGTGTGCACACTGCCATATGTATAGGAATTGAAATATTAAAATTGATCCAAGTTTTCAACAAACTCATTTAAATTAACAGATTTCAGAGTACAGTACACACATATCCCCTCTTCTTTAGACTTCTTCTGATTTTGTACTGCCCAGTGTAATTCCTTAGTTTAATTTCTGTGAATATAAATGAATATGCGAATATGAAATCTTAAGCTTCAAAAGAAAGAATATCAGCATTCTTGTTTTTGAATACAAGAACAAGAATAATGTGCTGCATCAAAATATACACTTATTAGGAAATTGGGAATGAGCACGAATGTTCCTCGCTATGTTTGGGTGCACCACATCAAACCACTTGAAACACAATTTACTATTGAAGCTTAAGATTTCATATTGGGATGTTAGTGGAAGGTATATAAATATTTTGAAAACAGCTCAGCATTACCTGATTAGACAGAACTGATGGGGTTAATTGCACAAACTCACTTCTGTCATTTAATCCCATTACCTGAAGAGTTTTCAGGATTTCATCCAAAGGCTCAGTGGGTAAATATGCTCTGATATGGAGCCATATGTATCAGCAAGTACTTGTATTCAATCCCTAGTCTATTAGATGATCTTGGGCAGTTGTGACAGCAGTAACTTTGATAGCAATGCATGACTAGGCATGAAATCAACTGAGGTGCTTGCTTCCAGTAAAGTTTCAGAAGCTCGTGTTGGAGCATGAATATGAACTTTTGGGCCTGGGTTTATTTGCGAACAGCTCCATAATGTAATAACTTGTTAATAGTTGCCTATATGCTCACAAGTGGAAGAGTTATCATTTGGGTAAGGTGATTGAGTGGCCACCGCACCCAGGAAGCTGTACTCCCAGCATGAGTCATCAGTCACCTTCAGGAGAGGAGTAGAGAAAATCTGTAGGATGTGGATTAATGATTACCAATGGTCATCGTTGCTTTGGAGATTACTAATTACATTTGATAACAGATTCTGACTTTGCACTGTGTGCTATTGGCTAAGGCGCCAATGGAAATTGAGTGCTGTGCATTATTTTCTTAACCAAGTGGGTTGATTAAAATTACTAATCTGTTACTATTAAGATTCGAACCGAGGAATAACATTGTTACCTTTTAAAACGAGTGTTAGCTGGACTTAGTTGGTGGCATTCTTGCCTCTGAGTCAGAAGGTTTTTGAGTTCTATGTCAGTACTTTGAATTCATAGTCTAAGATGATACTCCAGTGTAGTGCTGAGAGTGTCCTGCATTGTTGAAGGTTCTGTCTTTTGGATGTGACATTAAAACAAGGTCTTGACTACCTGCTAAAGTGGACACTAAAGATCCTGTGGCACGATGTAAAAAGACAAGGGAGTTTCTCCTAGACCTGGCCAACAATTCCCCCATATAAAACTGGTCATTCACTTCTTTGCTACTACTGTGTGCAAATTAAGTGGCACACTACTTGATAGGTCAATAATGGAAAAACAAGCATAGGAATGAAACATTTTATCTGAGAAGTCTAAAACTGACAAAATTAGCAATTAAAGTAGAGTTTATTAAAAAGTTATTCAGCCTCTGATACCATGTTGAGTGGCTAAGGCTCAACCGCACAGTAGAAATCCCTTGAATTGAGATGTTTCTGTTTTGTGAGAACGTGTTAAATTCTAATCAGTACTTTATAATGAGGAAACTAGCTTTGATGAAAATGTTAGAAGACTGAAGGAGTCTTTCTTCACAATTGTTTTGCTCTCCCTACTGCAGGATGAGAGGTGAAGTAATAACAGTATGGTGATCATGAAAGGGGGTGGGGGGGGGGGCAGGGTTGAGTGGATTTAACAAAGGGATAAATATATAAAGAATTTATATTTTTGTCATTAATGCAAATCTATTCTCCAAATTATTACGTCATGTTTGTAAAGGATACTGCAGTAGCATTTTTTAAATTCCCGAAAGGGTATTATTGATAACTATATTTTAATTCCTTTACTGACCAGACACAAACAAAGCAATGACTGTAACTAACAATGGTTCTCTCATGCTAATGCTAACTGAAAGTTTGATATGCAGCCATGAAGAATCCTTTCACAGTATGAATCGATTAAAGAGGCATTGCAGTTGGTTAGAAGGAATTTCGGTTGCATAATTTTGTTGCATTGTCATAAACATTTTGGACAGTTTTCTAAATTATATTCTGATTGAAAAGGAAGGAAAATGCGAAGTAAAAGTTTAGAAGTACAATTAATTTATTTGCAGATAAACTGTTCTTAATTCTTTAATGTAACATCTCCAGCATTGTTATAAATCACAGTGTGTTGAGACTGTTGTATAAGGTACTATAACATGCTATTTTTTTATTCAGGGAACATATGGAATTTTTTCTAATGGGTATATGCTAGAGCAGTAGGCAACCATGGTTCTAGGAACGGTGATAATGTGTGAAACATCAGTTATACTTGCTCTGCATTAATTCTCTGAAAAGAGACCTTAGTGTTGTGTAACATGATGGCAGATCACCATATAATAAGAAAATACCCAGGGACCTCAGAATAATTATCTGTGACTGCAGTTGCAAATTTTGCTTTATTAGAGCAATGAACCAGTAAGATTGTCAGCTGTTTGTCTAGACAAAGTCTACTGTATTATGCCTGAGGATTCAGATTAATTTTGAAAAAAAAGCCAGCAAAGATCTTTATTGATCTTATTCAGTGATTCTCTTCCTGAAAAAGTGCTCTTTGTTCTTAGATACGATGTATAATTAATGTAATTTATTACCTGCAATATTACAAAATTATTTTCTGAATTAATGGTAGGATTTCTCCTCTTGCTACTAATAACTTTCAGTTATCTGGAAACTGAGGCAATAAACTGCTCTAATGCTGATGAAATGGTCAGGCTCCAGGCTAGGTTAGAATTTTCTGACCTATTAAATGTTTCACTATTTGTGGCTAATTTGAGTTGGGTGAATATGATGGTCGCCACTGCTGAAAATAATTGCAGGTAACTACTAAAAATGCTTCCAATATGTATTATTCTATAAGCAACCTATCAGCGAATGCTGTGAAAGTTATGAATCTAAAAGAAGATAGATTAGTGAACATAATGAGCTAAGAAGGCAGAGGAAAAACAATGTTAGAATCTAAACAGTATCTTAACGGAGTCCTGTAGCTCAGTGGTTAGAGCACTCGCATTGCAAGTGAGAGACCTGAGTTCAATTCCAGGTCAGGGCGAAACCTTGGGCAAGTTTCCTTACTCCACACACCTAATAATAATCCCTCCAAAACCAAAAACAATAATAAATTGGTCATTTTCGATCTACAACTGTTTGTGGGACATTGCTGTGTGCAATTGGCTGCCGCGTTCGCCCACAAATATACAGTCAATTCACTTTACAGTGTGTTCTGTGAAGCGCTTTGGGACGTCCTCCCGACGTGAAAAGCGCTATATCAAATGCAAGGATTATTATTATTATTATTATTAACAATACAGTATTAATAAAAAAAAGGTCTCAGATCACTAGTAGTGTTGGGGCCACTGTGACGTCTGGGAATGGTTTTTTTGCTGCATTCATTGTAAAACTTTTCCAGAGTAAATTATGCTGTTTTTTTTAAAAAAAACAAATGGAGTAGCATTGTCACAACTTGCAAGCTGCTTTTAATGACTATTGTTTAACACACATATCAGTATCTAGCGCTTAGCAGGTATGCTAGTTTTTGCGATGACATCATCCTTCAGGATTGTGCTTAGAAGGGGGCAAAGGGCCTTCTAGTGATTGCAAGATTGGTTTTGATAAAAATACTTTTTGGCCCATCTGATCTCCTTCCAGAAGACCCAATTTTCCATCCCTCATTCACAGCATCAAGCTGGTTTTTAAATGAATCCAATGTCCTGACCTCAACCACCTTGTAACCGGTCATTAATTGCCCTCCAAGGGAAAGTATCTATCATATACAGTATTCATACTGTTTTTTTTTCTTCCTTTTATTTAAGATGTGATTTAAAGCCTTCCCAAAGAAGTATTTCAAACTTTAGTGATGCCTCTCTTTTCCCTTTTGTCTCTTCCCAATAAACTATGATACCCTACTGGCAACCTTGTGGTACAATAAGTAATCAGAGTGACAGTAAAACCTCATTAGCTCTTAAAATTAAGGGGGTTTTGTGTACTACTGTTTCTGTATGACTACATTGTAAATTAATATAGTGGTTACTGTAGTAATACTCTGTTCCTTTTATTTCAGATTTGGCATTGACTGATTTACAAGGAAAGGAAGATGACCGATGCTAGTGAGATGTTAGCTGCTGCTTTGGAGCAGATGGATGGTATTATAGCAGGTAAAAGATGGCCAAGAATCATTTAACCACTTCAGTTTCTATCTATTAATGGTTGCAACTTATTTTGTTTGTGTTCATTTAATTATTTATGTGCTTCCATACTCATTACAATGATTTTCTGGATCTATATTTCAGTTGTGTGTACTGACTGATGCCAAAAATGAATAGAACAGTGTATTGAATATATTGTCTGGATTTTATATGAAAAGTTCATTAACTGATTATTACTGGAACTGTATTCTAGACTCTGAAACAAAAAAATTACTTGTTAAATTATATATGGAGTAACCATTTAAGCACTTTGATACACCCTCCAGATCTAAATTGTATTTTATCTTTCTGTTGTGGCAGATAATCCTCATCAATGGCCGTAATTATGGAAGGCGCTTTAGAATATCCAGACTATTTACAGGGGAAAAGTGTTTTGTATAGGAGAGTTTTTTTTCAATGCATTACATTCCTGCCTTCATTTATTTTCAGCAATGATTGTACAGTAGAAAAATACCACTGGAAATCCTCAATTGTAATCCTCTTCTACACCACTGAGGTGATGCAATATTAATACAATCAGACCTCATTAGATACACAATAGTTTGGGACAATAAAATGAGATCAAGCATTTATAGAGCAATTGTTAGTCAGAACTTCAATGATATCGGCTTGCCTTTGATATCACTGCTGAAATCACCAAACCGCACTGCAGCTAGTTGGCAATTGCTCTCAAGAGCATTCCCAGCAATTACTGGGGCACTAGGAAGCCTCATGCATGCTGTATTCAGGAAGCTGGCCATTAAATGTTTGAAGTATACAACACTTCCAGTCAATCCATAGTAGGATAGAATGTACAACGCAGTAGTAAGCCATTTGATCCTTTTTTTATTGAATCTGTTGTGTATATAGATTCAATTTGTATGTATAACAGCATCTAATTGTATTACTTGTTTAACTGATCTATAGGAGGAATCTGTTGCAATTCAGTTAGTTCAGCATATATAGCCATTATTTGCACTAATTATCAGCAGATCATGCCTTGAAGCCTTTATTTCACCTTTAATGTGGGACAGTAATGCGATTGAGAATTTCTTCTGCTAGATAGGCACTCAATTGGTACTCGGTTTTGATCAGAAAATTGTGGGTTCATGTCCGAGGATATCAGCTACTGGCTGACATTTTGGTGCAGTGCTGAGGAGGGGTGTATGGTCGGAGGTGGCATCTTTTGCAATGAGCCGTGAAACCAAATTCCTGTCAACTGGACATTAAAGATTCCCATGCCACTATACAAAAAGAGAATCCTCAAGAATAATTGTTTATTCGTGTTATGGTTGTTTGTGGGACCATGCAGATAAAAATGGCTGTTTTTCACGGCCTCGCTCCCTCCTATCTCTCCGACCTACTATCCCCCTACCTACCTGTCCGTACCCTCCGTTCCTCTGGCTCCGGTCTGCTCCACATCCCCCGCCCCAACCACCCTACCATGGGTGGCCTTCAGCCTCTCAGCCCCGAGGCTCTGGAACTCTATCCCCCAGTGCCTTCGCCGCTTCCTCCCTCTCCTTCTTCAAGGCCGGTCTCAAGACCTTTCTCTTTGACCGTGCCTTCAGCTCCCCTCTCGACTCTCTACCCCCTCCTCGCTCCCTCCCTTCCCTCCCCTCACCCTGACCATTTCCCCCCCTGCTCGGGTCCTGACCCAACTGTACAGAGCCTTGGGACGTCCTCCCGTCGCGAAAGGCGCTCTATAAATGGAATTTTGTTGTTGTTTACAGTTTTTGAAACGGCATAATATGACTGAAGGACGTTGAATTGATACTGAAAAAATCCATACAATATATTAAAATAAAGCCTTATATAAAACTCAGTAGTCTATAATTTTTTATACACTCAAATAGTAGGGTAAGGTTTCTCTTTGAAATTAGAGCCTTTAGCAGTATTATGTATTTTGCTGTAGGCATCTTTGCATGAATATCAGCCTGTGTAAATTGTAAATCATCGGCATTCCGAACGCTTCCCTTCACAAGCTGCAGATCATCCAAAACTCTGCAACTCTCACACACCAGGCTCCTCGACCCCATCACTCCCACCCTCACCCGACTCCACTGTCTCCTTATCCCTCAGAGGATCGAGTTCAAGATCCTCGTCCTCACCTTCAAGGCTTTGCCCTCTTTCTGACCTGCTGAATCCGTACCTCCGTTCTAATTAATTAATCCTTGCATTTGATATAGCGCTTTTCACGTCGGGAGGACGTCCCAAAGCGCTTCACAGAACACACTGTAAAGTGAATTGACTGTATATTTGTGGGCGAACGCGGCAGCCAATTGCGCACAGCGATGTCCCACAAACAGTCGTAGATTGAAAATGACCAATTTATTATTGTTTTTGGTTTTGGAGGGATTATTATTAGGCTCTGTGTGGAGTAAGGAAACTTGCCCAAGGTTTCACCCTCTGCCTGGAATTGAACTCAGGTCTCCCGCTTGCAAAGCGAGTGCTCTAACCACTGAGCTACAGGGCTCCACGGCTCTCCACGGTTCATCAGGCTCTGGCCTGCTCCATGTCTCCCGCCCAACCCGCCCTACCATCGGTGGCTGGGCTTTCAGCCTCTCTGCCCCCACACTCTGGAACTCCATCCCACGGTCCCTTCGCCTCGTTTCCTCCCTTGCATCCTTCAAGGCCGATCTCAAGATCCTTCTCTTTGACCGCACCTTTTGTCTCCCTCCCACCTCTCTGCCTTCCCTCACCCATACACCACCCCTCCCCCATGCTCGGGCCCCCGACAGCTGACTGTTCAGCGCTTTGGGATGTCCTCCCGACGTGAAAGGTGCTCTATAAATGTAATTTTGTTTTTTAAAAAATTGATTAAGGAAACATAGTGTAATATAGTGATTATATATTGATTTATTAACAAGTGAAAGAACATCTTTCACGTCATGTAGGGATTTGTGACAATTCTTGGCACTGAAGAGATTTTAATTTGTTTTAGAATTTACACTGTATAGTTTTATGCATCTATGTTGTGGGGTGTACATAGAAATCTTTAGCCGAAAAGGGTGCCATTTGGTTACTGTGCCCAAAGGATCTGACTCCTAAATTGGCCTTCCTAATCAGCAGCATAATCACAACTAAGGGTTTTTCAACAAAAATCTTGGAAATTGAAAGACTGCAAAACCACAGGCATCTGGTTTTCAAGAGATTCTTAATCTGTACAGAAAATGAATGGTTTGCAAATGTGCACTAGTCATTTTACTGCCCACATTTTAAATTTTGGTTGATGCCTGACATTGTGTGATACGTGAGACAACATCAATTAATTTTTTTAATTCACATTTGACCAGGTTCAAAAACTTTAGACTACACAAATGGCCTGTTTGACTGCCAGTCGCCTACCTCTCCCTACATGGGTGGAATACGAGTTTTGCATCTAGTAGAGGATCTTCGTGGTCTGGTGGAAATGATGGAGAATGATGAAAAGGAAGGATTGCGCTGTCAGATTCCAGACTCCACTGCCGAGCTTCTGGGGGAATGGCTACAAAGTCATCTGGTAAATAATTTGTTTTGGACATTATACTTAAAATTGTTTTCAATCTTTTTCTGCTCACCACCCCATCCTGTTCTAATTTTTCTTAACTAAAGTGTGCCTTTTTCCTCAGTTACCTCTTTTAGTCTTGTTGGACGCTGCTCTTCTACTGCTGAGGATAACTAAAACCTCAATGGGATACAGATCCGAGAGTTCCATTGCACAATTAATTTTAAATGTTCAAGAAGTTTAAATTTACTTTGAACTTCCTGAATAGTTTAAAGTGGAGGCTAGGGAAAAGGAAGGGATTTTGCTGGAATAATGTTTTGTAAAGCTGGAGGAAGCAGTGATTAATGGGGATGAATGAAGAAGTATCTGCAGAGTTGAGTACATACATTACATACCCCTTTATCTTGTATGTTTTTAAAATGTATGATGATATACTGTAATGTGTGTGTATATATGAATGGGAGCCACTATTTGAACTGATGGTCAGCTAACAATGTCTGCTATGGGGAAAGAGCTGTAACAATTCGTAGCCCCGCAAGCACAGAGCTCTTGTTAAAGAACAATACCAAAGATACCGAAGAACTGCATAAAACTAGATTTGTGCAACACTAGTAAGTCTCCTTTATTTCTTACCTTTTAATCTTTTTTGCTGTTTCTGCTGTTTATATTTATAGCTAGGTGTATTTCCATGCTATTTGATTAGACTGATAAAACAAAAATGTAATAAAATGAACAAAACAAATCTCAGATCAAACTAAAATCCATAAAGCACTCTGGAACACTACCCTGCATGAAGGGCACTATACAAATGCAAACTGTTGTGAACAAAAGAGGTATAAAAACAATGTAATGTGCTCATTTTACATTGTTTTATATACCTCTTTTGATCACAAAAAGTGAACTATTTTCTTCTCTTCACTCCCCCCCCCCCACACACACACACACGCACACTCCAGAAATCAAACAAGATTCCAGAAGGAACTGCATACAAGTGAAATGTTAAACCTTGCTTTGAATTACTTTATTTGTTTCAGTTTGGTAGATTGCAGAAATGAATCTGATAGTGCCATCCTCTGGTGAATGCTTGTTATTACTATTTAATAGTTTTGTTGCTTTTGAATGTATTTTCTTCATAATATGCTGCAGTAGAATGTCAGTTATCTGCATGTCTGATCATCTGCATTAGGCTGTGAAGCAGAAATAAATGCAAGACTGTGAAACTAGCAAAAAAAACAATTTGGTTAAGAACATTTGTGAAGTGGTGCACATGTGCAAATCATACACGTATAGTAAGAGAAAGTTAGAGACTTTCTAATCTTACCACAGGAACCAGTCAGCACTCATTACGTGATCCAGCTGGCTATACACTTTGGGTTCCACACGCTGTTTGCACTATTAACAAACTACCTTGTAACAATACTGAAATATAAAAGTATTGGGAACTAAATGTCCAGGTTGTATGCAACTACCAGCTCCTGATGTGCACAACAATTCCAAATGTGCATATTTGTCAGTTTGCAAGACACCATTTACAGTAACTTCAGAAACGCTTCATCATTTTGTTTCTGTGTTTGGAGGGTGAGATTAAATTCTATATTGTAATCATCTATTTATATTAAAAAAAGGAACAGATCACTCTTGCATGTGTCAGATGGTACCTAATGAACCATAAAATATGCATTATGAACCACAAGCCACAGCAGCTGTTTCTGACAGTATGACAGCATTGAGTAATTTTGCTAACTTTGCTCCTAGGAAGAAAAATGAAACAGGTAGAAACGTTTTCAACAAAAGCTGTGTGACTACAAATCAGTTTGCATAATGCAATCCTGAGTTAAAGTAGATGGAAATTATCAGGGGTCCAATGAGTTCACAAAGATGATCAGTACATTGCTTTTGGTATTTATTGTGTGTTCAACAATGCAGCTGAAATCAAATGTTTGTATCCACTTATATTCATCATCTCCCACCTTGATTTTTCCATTGTCCTCCTTGCTAGTCTTCCCAGCTCCGCCATTTGTGAAATTCAATTAATTCAAAACTCTGCCTCGCTTATACTGAACTCATCTATACGGAACTCTGCACCCTCATACCCCTGTCCTTGCCAGGCTTTACTAGCTCCTTATGGCAAAATGGATCAGACCTGGGTTCATGCATGAAGAATAACAAAGCATACACTCTGCCACATTTATGTGTGTGTGTGTGTGTGTGTGTGTGTCCTCTCATTAGGAACCTCTGACCGCCCGTTTCATTTTATCACAGTACTGAGTATTTATTCTAAGATGGAGGTGGGAGGAGAAAAAGAGGGTAAATCTACACCCACAGTTGGTTTCATCGGGCTCTTTAGAGACTAAATTCGTTGACCTTCAATGCAAGGCAGGTGCATGATACTCTGAGGTGATCTATGTCACTTAATCACCTCTTCTACAATTTCTGTGTCGTTGAGTAATTCTGTAACTAAAGCTAAAAGTTAGACCATATTGCGAAGAGTCAATTTTATTTGGGGGAGAGGGGAGCGGCTGATGCATTGTACAAATTGTTCACTATATTTTGGCAATCTGCTCGTTCTTACAAACATGTTTACATTTTGCAGGCAAATAATTCTCATTCATTTTGACTAGATATTTGTTTTACACAAAAGGGGCTGTTAATTCATACATTTTAAATATTCTTAAAAGCCAATGATTTTTAGGAAGAATATGTATTTTTATCGGGTTTAGCATGTAGACAATAAAATGAACTTCATTGATGACTCTTAATTCATAGTAAGTATTGTACAATCCTGCTTGTGTTAAATAACCAGACTTCTGCAAAGTGGGAATAGCTTTGACTGGATCTTGATTAATTTAATCCACAAAAAAAATCCCTGCACTTTACAGTATATCCTATGAAGCGACGTAAACAGCACTGTACCAGATGCAAGTACTATTAATTATTCGTGATGGACAGCATTTTATTTGAACTACTGACAACCTTAACGATTTGTTTGCCTGTACAAACAGTGCTTGGAGCTTGTTCATGTTTTCGCCTGTGGAAGTGAACTGTCTTAAAGCAGATACTTTCCCTCTCCTGGGAGTAACTATGCTTTGAATAAACCGGGGGCACATTCCTGAGGTGATGACAATCATATTGTCAAGATTTTAAAGACCTTTCCAGTAGCACTGTGGATTAGCCTGGGACACCAGTGTTTTGCCAAATGGACAATAGAAGCAGGGTTCAGAATACAGCAAACCTTGTGTTGCTCTCCGCAGCAATGAAGCTCAATATTGTCCTGGTGCATCAGCAGTGAGCAACCCATTGTATCTGTATGTTCTTTCCAGTTTCCCTCCCCCCAAATAAGTATTGTTCTGAATGGCGAGAGATTTGGATATGTGCAAGCACTTCAAATGGCTAAAAATGGTAAGATGGATCTGCAATGTAAATGGTGTTCATTGCTCTTTGTGATTAGTAAAGCAGTTATTACAATTTATGTGGATTTGTTTTTAAAATAGCATAGTTAAAAAGACGTATATGACCAATTGGAATGTCTGACGTATTGGGAGCCATTGAGTCCACTATAAATTTTAAAGATAGTGATGAAAGAATGCAATGGGTGAAGAAACAAATTTGTAAGCTATTTTGATGCACGAATAGTTAGAATATATAAAGCCAACCGTGTGAATTTTTCAAATTAAACCAGTTAAACCAGTTATTTTCAACTCAATATATCTGAATTGATATTTCGAGAAAAAGTATACCCCCATTTTTGTAATTAATATCTTTGCATAGGGAAGTTTTTATCATACTAAATGGAACTAAATGGAATGCTTTGTCACCTTTCAATAAAGCCTACATGAACAAAATTGTAAATTTGGACAACATGTGGTCAGTCCATGCTTTTATTTCAGTTGTAAATTCAATTTGAATTAAGTGTGAAATGTATGGACTTTTCAGAGAACGTAATGAAAGCATCATCTCATCATGACATTGGAATTTGATTGCAGAGGTTTAAGCAGAGCATATTTTAGCCATAATGCAATTTCTTGTCTGCATTCATTTCGATGAGAATGATTACATTCAAACATATGCTGGAAGCTTGCCAGACAAGTGAGGTTTTAAGAAAAATTAAACGTGCACTTGACCTTATACGCCCCAGTTAAAAGATTAGAACATTCAGTAGAACGTATTTCACATAAATTACGTTTTGCATGGTTTTCTTGGAGTGTTGCTTTGGTAACCTTGAGCTGCTTTTGTTTGAGCTTATAATAAGGGCAGTTACTTGCATATGGTTTTAGTTTTCTTTATTTTATAAAATATAAGATTGTTGTGTTATAATGTATACGTGATAACCTTTGTGAAGCTGTATACAAGCATTTGCCAGTTTGCTTGTCTTTCTTACAACAAGAACAAATTGAGAATTGTATTCTTTAAGTCTTAACTGTACAAACAATATTTAATGTTTGTACAGTGGTACCTCAGTAGTTTGGATTAGAGTTGCTGGACCAACACCTGGTTATTTCTTGGTCATTGAAATTGGGTCTTTTAATGCGGGTAATAATTATTTACGGCCATTGGCCAAATAGATAAATATAACCTCTTTTAGCATTATAGTGTTTCAGAATATGCAGTAAAACAAAAAATTATCTTGATATTTTATTTGATGCTAAATTCAGCAACTCTCTGTGCAAGGATATTTTAACATATTTTGAAATGGCTTTTAAACTCAGACCTGCAATGTTGTAAATATGCAGGAGCTTCAGGCAGCAAATTCTTATCTACTCAGAAAAAGACTGTAGAATTAATCTATTTAGGAAAAATAAATACGTTTTTTTATTACAATACTATATCATTTAAGAGCCATTTTGCAGCAACTGATTGTAGCTTCACAAAGCTTTTAACAACTCTCCAACATGATCAGCCTCTTTGAAAATTGGTTTTACTGTATCTAAATTGAATTATATTAGAAACTGTATTTAAAACTAAATGTGTTTTCAGAAATGAATCAGATTTGGTATTTACTTGATGCTTTAGTGGGTCACATTCTAAAGTGAACAGCTGCATGAGTAACTGACCATAGTCCAGTGTTTGCAACACACGCAGTGCCTGTAATTCAAAAACCCTGTTTGGGCAAATAACGTTGCCTAGGGTTCCAGCACATTGTGTGGCAAAACTGCATTTCTTCCCACAGATATGTTAAACATGCCATTCTTCCATTGCGACTGAGATCATTCCAAAATGATTGATGGTTACTTAGCCCAAGTGTTCAGCGAATGCTTTCAGTAAGTGAATTTTAGTGTGAAGAAGAGGTGAACCCAAATGTTTGTAAGATATTTTAGGACTGTGTCGAATTGATCAGATGTAATTAAGCCAAGTTTAACTTCATCATGTATTTGTAGATTTTAGCAGTGAGTTATTGTTTTATATATTAAAAACAGCGGCCACCTTTTATGGACATTACTACACCTACTTGCATTTATATACTACCCTTCATGCGGGGAGCATCTTGGAGAGCTTGAATATATGCAACTGGAATTATATGTTGAAATTTTTCAGAAATTGTCAGAAAACTGATTTTGGCAAAGTGCAAAGATATTTGATGGTTGCTGTAATTTGAAAGATGGTTCTTGTCTGAAATGTTTCATTAAAACATCAAAAACCTTCCAATGTTAGTTTTATAGTTTTACTCTTTCCCCTCAAAAATAACTATTTCCATGCAGTCTATTTCAAACAAGAGAATTGGCCTATATATACTGCCTTCTTTTGTAAAATATATGGTATTTAAATATTTTAAAATTCAACAATGTTTTCAAGCTGTGGATTGAGTAGCACCACATTTTAGAGATGTGTGTTCACAGGTTATTGTGGCTATCTGGCTCTGAAAGATATTTTTGTGTAGGTTGGTTTGATCACTGGCAGATTATTGAAATAGCAAAATATTCTATTACATTGAGGAGAGTTCTTCTAAGGCAATATTTTTTGAAAAAAAGCACCATGTTCACAGCATTTTGACAAACTTTGAAGCCCAAATGGATTTAAGTAATGGAATTAACCAGCTAGTTTGTTCTTCACTTTTGTTTTAAACTTCTTTTACAGACAAATGGGCATATTTCTGTCACTGGTGATCTGTACCAAGACAGATTGACCCGTTTAGAAGGCGATAAAGAATCTCTGGTTTTACAAGTAAGTAAAATATAAATCTTGGAGATTAAAAGCAATACTTTGACAATCACTACCGTTTCCTTTACTTGTAATAGATACCTGCAAAATTTGAATTTTGTCCTGGTCTTAAATCTGTGTCTAAGCAGAAAAATAATAATTTCTATAAAATATTGGTGTACAGTAAAATATTCCTGTTTGATCTGAACACAAAAAATTATGCAATTACCCATCTCTTGGATGGTGCAGACAGGTTAACAAACGAATTACAAAATGAAAAATACTTACTCATGTTCTACTTAAAAAAAATCACATGGCACTGTTCAAAAAAAAAAGGAAATTTCTCCCAGTATCCTGGCCAATAATTCCCCAACTAAAATTGGTCACTCATTCCATTGCTGTTTGTGGGACATTGATGTACTAGTTGGCTGCCACATTCACCCACAAAACAGTCACTCCACTTTATAATATATCCTGTGAAGCGCTTTGGGAACTTCTTCCTGATGTGAAAGGTGCAATACCAAATGCACAGATTATTATATAATTATTACTTCAATTATATTTGTTAAATATATATCATTATAAAATTAAGTTTTAATATTTCTCCTTTTCAAAAAGTATCTTGTAGCTAAATTCAAGCCATGTTTTCACACAGTGAGACATATCATAAGCTGTATTGGCAAAGGAACCGTTTGAAATTTGAATGTTTCTAAAAGGTTTAGACCTGGACCAATAGAAAAGTGCAGAAATAGTTCTGAACTTTCGGCAAATTTTACACAAAATGGTGGGGAGTTGATTGGTGTTATTAAGGTACATTTCACTGCCAACCTACTTTTTTTTAACTTTATTGATTAAAAACTAAACATGAGGAAATAACACATATTGGATAGTCACAAAAAAATATGAATTGCTTCTTTATCAAAAGCTGGGTGGCTTTTTTTTGTTGGGGGAGTTGGGGGTACACCAGCGAGGCTTCAGGAGCAGACCCAGCGAGAGAGAGAGAGACACACTCAGGGACACAGAGAGAGACACACACACAGGCAATCATATATATATATATATATATATATACACACACACACACACACACACAGAGTCACAACAGCGGGGCCACCCGAGTGAAGCCCATTTGCTGCTTGCGCCGCGCATGCGCGTCTGGAGGACCTCCGCCCACAGTGACATCAGGGAAACAGCCAGAAGGCCTGCTGGCCAGAAACTACACTTAGAGCGGGTTTGTAGCGGATTCCGCAACAAAAGTGTGACTACTTTTCTATTGGCCCAGGTTTAGACTTAACACCTGAAGGAACCTCTGTTTTGTAGGTGAGTGTGTTAACAGACCAAGTCGAAGCGCAAGGAGAGAAGATTCGAGACCTAGAGTGCTCCCTGGAAGAACACCGTGAGAAGCTGAATGGCACAGAAGAGATGTTGCAACAGGTATGAAATGAAATAAGTGGGAGAAAGTGAGGTGGGGCGGTAGCTAATTTCTTTCTCAACATGCATATTTTGAAATTCTCCCTGCGGTTGATATATTTAACAAGAGAGAACAAGAGGCAACAAGACAGTCGTGTGACATAAGGTTTTTACAAATGAAGTAATTATGTGGTAGATAGGGCACCTTTGTTCCCTATAGTATGAGAATTATAAGAAGGAAAGCCTTTCTATAATATGTAAAAATATCTAATGCACTTAACAAGTAATTTGTAGTTCTTAAATGAAATACAATGTAAAAAAAATCTTAACTATTTCAGGAACTTCTAAGCAGAACATCACTGGAGACTCAAAAACTGGACCTTATGGCTGAGGTGTCAAACCTCAAGATAAAATTGACATCTATGGAAAAAGATAGACTGGAATTTGAAGAGAGATACGGCGATAATGAGGTAATGCAATGCAAATTAATATAACATTCCAAATTATAAATTGGTTGGTACAAAACATTTGCTTGACTTGTCCAGGAAATACTGTAGCTGTTGCAATGAACTGTAGGTTTGTTATTTTCTGACCTCATCTGGGTATGAATCTTTCCTACTTCTTGGTGTTGATTTTTATCATTCTGTTCTCGATTGATTTCCTCTAAATCTGTACATAAGCAGCTAGCAAACCTAGCAATGATACTAATTAAAATAAGCGGGCATCTTACTATGCAAACAGGGAAAAATAGATAGGTAATCTAAATATTGAACTAAACTCCACAGAAATATAATTTAATCATCACTCTATCCATCTTGTTCCATTAGCCTGTTCTAATTGTATGATAGCATGGATTTTTGTTTCTTATGTCTCCATCCTTTCTTTCACCTACTTTTTCCCACTTCTAAACTAACCATTCAACATTCTGTGCTAAACAACAGTAACGTTTTTTTTAAAAGTCTGATAGACTTACCTTTAAGGTTTAAAAAAAAATCGCATTTAGTGGTGAGTTACCAGGCAGTAATTGGTCAGTATTGGATTTCTTGTTTGCAATTGTCCAAACTGCTTAATTACAATTCTGACATAACTTTTAGCCATTTATGTTTTTCTAACACACTGATAATGTTTATAGCACTGACTTCAGCAATGGATTGTTGAGGGTTAATGCTGTTTCAGAGCATTCTTTATGTAGTGCATCTTAAGTTTAGTCACAGTTGATTCCTTCGCCTACTGAGACCCATCATTTAGCTTCTTGGATTGACGGAAAATGAAAAAAAGTATATATTTGGTTGCTGTCAATTTTGTAGTTTTGTTTGGCTTAATGATTATGTTTCTACAGGTGTTGTAACAAACACCTTAAAGCTTCAGTTGCATTATCTGTCTGTTTTTTTAAGCTCCTCATTCTATCCATAATTTCCCTCGTTTCTACTGTTTTAACTGTTCTATACAGATCTTTTTCTCCATTCTCTTTCATTTGTATTGTACACTGCAGTCATTGTTTGCCCTCATAGCAGACCTGAGGCAACAGATGGAGAAAGTGGAAGTGGAACTAGCATTGTTCCAGGAAAAGAGGTCCCAGTTTGGGGATCAAGAGGTGACTGCACAACAGTGAATGCTATGCAATATTAGCATCTAAGCCCAATATCACTGTGCATGTTTAGTGTTGATTGAGAACTGATTTAACTGGAGGGGTGGGGAAAGGGAGATTTGCCACCCAGGAAATTTAGGAAGAGGAAAAAAATGAAGGCACATCTTGTCAACTGAAAATGTAATAAAAGTCCTGTTAAGTACAATACTTTTGTATCCATGTTTTCCACACTTCAATCTAACACTCCATTCATTGTTTTCTGTGCTTAATTTGATAAATCTGCAACGTCTCTTCAAAAAATAACATGCTGGAGAATGTCAGTTAAGGCCATTCCTTCCTGAATTCCATTGAACCATATTTAATTTGAGGTTTACCTTCCGCTAAAGGTTATTTGAGCAATACCCTCGTATATCATCCAACTGTCCACTTTTCATGGTTGGTGTGACATTTCCAAGCTCCCAGCAGTTAATGAATCATCCTGCACCGCACAGTGCATCTACAGTTCTAGCCCTCAATCTCTGATTTTTTAAAAAAAAAGTATCAGTTGAAAGCTGTAGGTGTATTTCAGAGTAAATTTCAACTACTTTTTTTCTTCAATGAGCAACATGTTCAAGCGGAAGAACTAAATATAAAAGGTGTTTGTAGTGGTTTAAGACAGTGGTTTAATCGTGTTTATGATGAAATCTCAAATATCGGAAATATTTGTTATCTTTTTTAAAAAAAATTCTACTTTAACTTTGGATGGGGAAAGTATTTGCCTCTAAAATTGTTTGAATTATAACTTAAGCTAAATTTAGTTTGGATTGCACTTACACTGTTATGAAATCATTTGTTTGGATACTGCTGAAAAAAAATTGATATGCTGCATGGCCTGTTATTTTATTTTGAGGCGACATGTAATCAAAAACCTATAACAAATTCTGTGACTTAGAGTTGTCCAGCCTTTTCTACATGTTTAACCCTGAGATAATTTGTGTATGCTGAAAACGCAACATTATCTGTGCATTTTATATTCATTTCATTTGCACGATTGAAACATTCATAAACTTGGAGAAAGAAATCAGTAAACACGAGAAACCTAGAAAATTAACAGCAAGGGAGAAGACCATTCAGGTTAACTTGAAAGTTTCCCTAATTGGCGTTATCTACTCTAATCCCCCTTTCGTATACTATTTGTAATTGTCCTAAAGTATTCATCAAATTCCCTTTTAAATGCTATTATGGACTAACTTTGTTTATTTTGAAAAAAAGAAAACTGAACCTAATTTATGCTCTTTTGCACTATTAGGTTTGGTAACAGAGAATTAAATGAGATGCTCTTGGGTTTCTTTCTAATGTTCTAATTTTTGTGGGAATTTTCAGCATGCAATTACAATGCATTTAGCTTTTTCTCCCACATGTTTCAGGGATTATTTCAAGAGATTAATGATCTAAGAATGAAGGTGACTGAGATGGAAAATGAAAGAATGCAGTTTGAGAAGAAGCTGAAATCAACAAAGGTAAGAATAGTCTTTAAACATTTGGCAATTTTAGTTGCTTCCTCCGCCCGCTCCATAATATTGATCAAAGCAGTTGAATATTCCTTTGGTTGCTTATTATGTTTTCAGGTGGCTATTTATCCTGTTTAGGGTTTATTTCAGGGAGACTGAATTGCAATACTGTATTGTTGGAAATGCTGTCTTTTGGATGAGGGTCAGTCTGCCTATTAAGGTGGATGTTGAAGATCCCTTGATGCCATTTGAAAAGCCAAGGAAGTTGCTCATGATGTTGTTAACCTTGTTGATGCAGAAATTGTAATAATTCATTATCTTGAATTCTTAATGTATAATTTAAAAATTATTATAATGCAAACGATTTCTAAATAATACCTGCAATTTAACCTGTAAACATCAGTAAGCACACAAAAGTAACACCAATACTCCCAAGGCTCCTTCTCCCCCCTACCCCATGTGTTAAACATTTCAAAAGATTTCATGTAAATACTGTGTTTTTTTATTTATTTAACTTTTGTGGAACAGTATTTGTCCAGAAAGTTTTAACTCCTTCAGAGACTACCTTTCCACGGAAATTTGCAAATTCTTCCTAATTTCTCTCTCTCTCACTTTCTTCTCTCACCCAATACCCCAACAGTGATGCCAATTGAGCACTAATAATCCTGATGCCAGACCAATTGAGCACTAATGATCATGCTGAGGTGTGATCAACTTTATTAAACCAAGCAAAATATTCACTTTTTTAAAAAAAATGTTATAAAAGAATTCAGAAATGTGACTTATTTTTTTCTTTGCTAATCTTCTCTCACCCTTCCCTAATCCTATTTTGACTTGCATTATTTCTTAACTCTTTTTGCTGATGTATAAAGCTTGCCTATTATCTGGTAATTTAATGACTCATACCATACCATTATATGGATGTGATCCACGTCAAAACAGCCAATTGGGAAAGGCATTTTAGAGGTTTTCCAAGGTTGTGTTGGAGCAACAAGACCAAAATATGAGATGCTTTTCAGGCTGTCTTAGTGTGACACAACCAATGAAAACTCAATAGCAGGTCAGGCAGATGTGTTGAGTTTTCTTTAAGGCTGCTGCCCAGGTTCAAAGACTTTAGAGATTAGGTTACAATTTAGATTAATTTATACGTTAGTGGTACAACTACCAATATCTGTAAATAGTCCTGGATCCATGTGTAATGTATAATAACTACATCAATTTTATTTTTTGAATCTTAAGAAAATCTGCAAGATCTAAAAAAGATATAGTCTAATGTAGTGTTGTACTGCTAAAAATTTTTTAGGTAATACGTCTCTGCTACTCTTGCTTTGCTTCTTTCAGCCTCTAGCTTTCTATTTTTGTATTCCCCCCATCTCTCCCAGTCATTAATGGCTAAACTATCTAGCCTGAAAATCAAGGTTGGTCAGATGCAGTACGAGAAGCAACGACTGGAACAAAAATCCCAGACAGTAAAGGTGTGGTGGGTTTTGGCTTATTGCTCGTATTGTGCTGTAGTATAATCTTTGCTTGAACTGTTGTGCTGTGTTTGTGACGATATTTGTGTCTTTGCAAAGCTAATTACAAAACATTTAGCAAAAAAGTTCTCGGCATGGGACATAATACTTGTAATTGCTTTTCTCAGACTTGTGTTCCTAAAGGATCTCCTTTTTTAAAAATATAGGTAAAATAGAAACATAACACAAAGATACCAAAGTAGATATGGGACATTTGCTTTCTGCCCTTATGTCCTTACAACTGTCTTGCATTACCTCTGTCTGCTGTTCAGATTTATTGTCAGTTTGTCAAATTCCTTCCACTATATCTCTGTATTTCTGTTTTGTTTCCACTCTATGAGATTTGTTCAGCTGCCTGCATGTTTTGTTCGTTGTTGTTTTGAAGAATGTTCAATTTAATCTGCTAAGGAACTATGATGAAATCAAATCCTTGATCATTGCATTTTGCAAAAGTGTTTTTTAAATCTTTTGATATAAAGCCAGGTCCATAATTATTTCCGGGGGCATTTGACTGTTCAAGACTAATTTTCCTTGCATAGTATTTTTTAAATAAAAGCTTTGTGTACTTCAACTTGAATCAATATTCTGTTTAATCCATACTCTTCTCCCCATCAGAATGCTTTGTCTTCAGTTGCATAATCGTGGCTATGAAAACTGAGGAAAGTTATGCTAGAATTGCTCTATACTCCAATTTTTGAAGAAAATTTATTTTCTATTTGACAAATATTGAACACTTTTTTTAGCATACATGTTAATAAATTTGTGGGTTGAAGTTTTTTATGATATCAATATTTCTGTCTGGTTTAACATCTGCATTGAGCAATGAAGTTGGATATCTGTAGTCAATGCTAATCTAAAGTTCTATGTTTATTTAGTTGAGGTATGTACATTACAAATCTTTGTTGTTTCTAGAAATATTGATGCAAATATAGTTTTTTTTTCAATATTCTATCAAATTTAGCTTACATTTCCAATAGCTGATCATGTGCTTTTTATCAACTCATTGTGCTAATTGGTAAACGATGTTAATTGGGGTAAACGATAAGCATCTCTTGGAGGAATGTGTGTGCGAGTGAGAGAGCTTTTAAATTCAAATAGCTTTCAATCTTACCATGTTGCCCAAACACGCCTCAAATTATTTTCACCTGTAATTAAAATCTAGGCTCGGCTGAATGTAATTTTTTATTACACATCTTGTACTTGAAGTACTTGAGTTGCAATATGAAGAGTACGACTGAATGGCGGGATGTATTTAGACAATTTAAGATTACATCATCCCAACTCTGTGTAGAGCATCTCCTGCTAGGAAATAAGTCCTTATTTTTATGGCGCAGGATGAATTGGTGCAACTAAAGGAACAGTTGGAGCTGAAAGAAGCGGAAGTTAGAAGGTTGCGGAATGAAATGAGTTACAAGAATGAGGCAGAAGAAAGTGATGGTGGAACTGGTAAGCTGCTCAGTGTTCTTGCTCAAAGGCCATTTATATAAATGAAGCAAGGATGTATTTTATCATGGAAAAGTTATGTTCGTAATCTGCATTACCAGTGTATATTATCAATATTGGCATGTTCAAATGATTCTTTGGTGTATTTGCTTTACTTTGTTGTTTCCGATGTTTTCAATGCAAAACGAGAATGCTTGGTTTATTTTATATATAGGTCTATGTATATTACAATTTGCAGTGTTATAACACAGGAGTTGGGTTTTTTAAAATCCCAACTAAACAGTTATGGGTCTTTCATTCACTGAGCATGTGGGTAGAAAGGCCAATAGCTTTCTGCATGCTTTTGACGGCCAACGTCTGGGTCATAATAATAAGCTCTTTTCCAATGTTGCTTCCTGCACACTGTGTATGCCAGATAGCAACCTTTTGTGATGTGGAAGTTAGCCTTTTTTTAGTAGGCATGAAGCTAGCTGGTTTTGAATTGTGCTAGCCAGCTTGCTGTGTGTTTCATATTCTTTGGTAAATAAATGTTGTGGTCCAAAGTCATGCTCTAAGAAAACCCATATTATAACAAAGCACATTATAATGGTTCTATTCAACTGGTTTTATTAACTAAAGATAAAGAAAATGCAAAATTCCAAATGTACAGTTTAACTGAATCATTTGTCTTGTACAGTTTGTCATGATTGTATTTCTGCAAGTTTCATGTTTAGAGTTGACACATTTTACATAAGTATTCAACTGTTTTATTCACACCTAACTGCAAGAATTAGTGTGTTTAAAAGTTACCGACTTGTTTATCAAAACTAACCTAGTACTTCTTCTTTTGTGAATTTCCTGCAGAGGAAAGTTATAAAAAGAAGCTCAAAGACAAAAGTAAGGTCTTGGTATCTTTGTTTTCAGAATGTGGATTAATTGCATCCATGTGCATACGGGGATGATTATTGCATCCCATCTCAGCAAGTTGCATGTTGAGAAGCCTTCAAACTCAAATATCCATCTTTAATCCTTAGCCGTTAATTAGGGTGCAAAGTTATTTGTCAGATTTTGAACAAGGAAAATTAATTTAAAAGATATTAGATTAAATACACAGTGCAGTATTAGGATTTGGGGAAAAAAATACTAAGAGTAATTTAATCGGCCAGGTTTGTGTCTTCCAACAAAATATTGTTGGAATATTTTGCGGTAGCTATTTTTGTCGAACATTACTCCATTTTGCGAGGTAAATTTAACTTTGTGTTTTCTAGCACAACTGTACACATGTATATTCAGGCAAATTAAAACCTCTGTGCTAAGGATTACAGATGATTTCCAGTTTTTTAATTCTATTTGTATCTTGAGCTCTTGCATGGCTCCTCAATGTGCTGCAATTAGTATATGGCTGATAAACAGTATCATAGACAGAAAAGGGATGTCACATTTACTTATTGACCAGACATCCCCATCTACTTACTGCTGATAACCTATTTTGTAACTGAAGTGTGTCAACAACTCAAATAACTTGCTTTGCATTCTTTTGAGACCTGAAAGCCTATGGTCACTTACTATAAATGTGTTTGTAGCTTGCAGTGAGCTATGTGAGCTGAATGACCTTTTCCTTGCTGCTACATAAATGCTACAAAATAAGCTGTTCAATATTGGAAACTGGAATTTGAAACAATTGAACATTGGTATATTGCAATAATATTTTTAACTTTTTATTTTTTTTCAAATTTTATAGTTGAAATGCTATTAATTTGCCTAGAAAAACTGTAATTGCACTTGACGGCATTTACTTGTGAAGTACTTTGAAGCGTTTTGACATATAGTGCTAAACAAATGCAAGTTTTCTCAATGAAAGATTCATGATTAAACAACTTCTTTACTTAGCACAGCCAAGGTGTCATTCAAATGTCCTCTTCTGTGGATTGTTTGATGATTTTCTTTCACTGGTTGTCTTTTTCACAATTCAAGATAACACAATGTACCTACATTTCAGCATGTGGAAATCTCGCAGTGATGTAATGTGCTCTTTTCCCACTATTATAACAGTTGTGAAACTGGGTTCAGAAGACTTTACCAATTGAACACATAGCTTTACTTCAGTTTTCAACATTACTGTGATCATTATCTTTTAACCAACTGATATAATTAGATGCATAAAACCATTGATATTGAAGGAATGGTGATCCCTTTCTTTAATTGGCAGAACTAAATGATACAGTTACTTGTTTCTGTTTATATGCTAAAGAAAATTGGATAAGCTGTGCCGGTTCTAATTTAACAGACTTTGACCTATTTGTGTCAGCTAAGGACTTAACTGTTGGTTGCTATCCCATTTCAATTTAATTCTATCTCCCTCGCTAAAAGGATGATGCACAGCATGCAATTACAGTTCTATCACAACAATAAATTGCATTCATATTGCTCAGTTCAGAATCTTAAACTTAACTACTTTATTATGTGCTTTATATTTTATTAGAACTTTAATTTAGTCATTGTAAAGTACCATGAAACTCGGCATGTATTAGAATATATATTAATAGTTCAAACTTTTCTTACAGGTGTAACCGTGCAAAGAATATTTGTTTTCGCATATTGGATTAAAATGTTGAATTGTTTAAACTCAACTGCTGTTGAGCTGTTTGTTATTAACCTTTACAATTATTCAAACTAATGGGCAACAACCATGTTTTCTATATTATTCATAGATGGGCAATTTTAATAAACTAATATAAATCAAACTGGGATGCATTTTTAAGACAGTGGCAGATGTACAGTGTTAGTAGTTTTTCTTAGTCGGAAAGATGTATTGAATATCAGCAAATGTCTTGTTATTTTTAGATCAAGAAGTTCATAAAATGAAGAAGGCTGTTGAGTCGTTGATGGCAGCAAATGAGGAGAAGGTAGATGGAAACTTTTTTTTCTATCAACACATTTAGCTCAGTTTTAGATGGAACTTGAGCAGGTTGACATTATGATCTGACTTCACAGGAATTACATTTTATATAAAAACCTATTTAGCTTCAAATTAGGGCAGAAGCTTCTACATAAACAAACATAGAAAATAAATAATTTTTTAAATTCATGATTACCTAATGTGTTTATCAAATGTCCTCTACTGGATGTAGTAAGGCAGCACCATCAGGAAAAATGATGGGATGGTGGCGGGGGAAGAAAATTACTTTTTCTAATTTTTCTTTTCGTTTGAAGGATCGAAAGATAGAAGAGTTACGACAGTCTCTAAATAGGTACAAGAAGGTGCAAGACATGGTCATGTCAGTGGCTCATTGTAAAAAAGGTAATAATAATCCTTGCATTTGATGTAGCGCCTTATCACGTTGTTGAGACTCTCAAAGCGCTTTACAGAATATATTGTAACAAGATATGTTGTAAATATATTCCATAATTCCTCATGTTGGATCTTTTTGGGGATCTGTCATTTGTAGTAGATATTGTTTTGAATTCATAGTTATTTATCAAACTTCAATGATTTGTTCAAAAATACTGCATGTTTGAATAAATTCAGAGGAATAGAATGTAAGCAAATTAATAAGATATTAATATTTATTTTATTAAATAACCTTATTTCTTAACGATAAGACAATTTGTTGAAATATGATATTGAAGATGTGTATTTTCTGCAAATATGAAACAAAAATATAGTCTATTAAACTTCTAATGTTTGCATCCATGAAGGAAAAGAAGGTGATAGTGATGAAAGTTTGAACAGTGGCTCTATTGGAGTTAACACTACTGAAATGGACCAGGCTCCTTCAATGACACCAATTGGTGCACTAAAAGATGCAGCTTTAGTCCCTTTTCCAGAGGTAAAACATTTTTTGTTTAAATTGATTACAATCTCAAACTTCAGATCTAGTTTATCTTGTAATATTTAACGTGTAAAGATTTAAGTATTGAGACATTTCTAAATTCTAACTATATAAATTGATTTTGTTTTTGTTTTTAAAAAAAGCTTGGTTTCATGTTGTTTAAACTTTAAAACTTTAAACCAAAATAACACAGTCATCCCTTTTTCAGGAAACGATCGAAATCCACACAAGTGTCCTTCAAGTACCAATTCCAATGATTTCATCTACTCCAAAGAGTTATGCTGAACAGTTGGAGGTGAAGGAACCCCAGGCTGAGGCAACCGGTGAAATTGGGTAAATTATTACAGAATGGCATATGTATCTTTAGGATGTGGCATGGAATTGGAAAGCTTAAGACTTGTTAGTTTCTCCTAAACGTCACAGAAATTACAGGAGGCCTTTTGGTTTTTAAGCCAATGCTGATGTTGACTCCTTCACTGGAGTTAAATACTTTTAAATTCCAATTCTGTGCTGTTTCTCCTTACCCAGTTACATTTCACCTTTTCAAATGTATGTGCAATCTTTAAATGTTATTTTTTCAGTTTCAATAGCCTTATGTTATTGAATATCCTCACACCAAATAAAATTGGATGAACTGATCAACTGTAACGTTAGAAGGACGTCTGTTCCTAGGAATTTGATTTGTTACAGATTTTGTTTAATAGGTTTCAATTACATGTGGAGACTTCATTTAAAAGTAAAACCTCCTTTTAGGTGAGGTTTGTAGTTCGTATACATCTGTCACTATTGAATGAAGCAAAGTGTACTAACTCTGTGTGTATTCTGATCCATATCTGCATCTTCTTCAGTGAAATGCATCCGAAAGATATCTCCTCACTGGTTGATGAAACTCCTCTGTGTGATAGTCCTATGTAAGTATATGCAGCAATATTATTATTCTTGTACATAGCATCAAATTACAAAATGTTTGCTGAATTTATGGCATTCTTTCTAGTTTTCTACATGACTATCTTTAACTTTTTTAAAAGAAAAGCTACTGTTGTAAGATACTAGTTACTAGTGGGCCTATTTTCTAACCATGAAAATATATACTGCAAACTCTCTGAGATGAAGTGAAAATGGTTTAGTATTACTTTCTGGGAAGAATTATAGTGACCTCTTGACTTTACAGTAGCGTCCATTTAATTTCTGTGAAATGTTTAAATAATTGGTTTAGAAAAACTTGGTTGCAAAGATTAATGTTAGGTTTTCAGAAAATATTATGCTGACTGTGCACTGATCTATGTTTTCTAATGGCTCATTGCAGATCACCTAAATTGCAAGAGTCTAGTAGTCTGGAAAATATGAAAATGGAGGATAATAATCAGGTTTGCTTTGTTTAAAATTGTACAAACTATCTGTAAATATGAACAATAGATTTTAATTTGTTTTTCTTTTCTACAGTAATTTCCTCCCAGAAATTCTAAATCAAACTGTAAATCTATAAATTGCAACTGGAAATGTATCTCTAATCAATCTCATGTATGTGGGATATACCAAGTTATTCTGTAAGAATATTTGCTTGCAATTTGATTATATCTCAACAATTTTGATACTGCAGTTTTACCAATAAGTGCCAGTATTTGGAAAGAAATTCTGCTTGAGTCTAAAATTGCACTATTTTCTTAGAATTTCAGCGCTTGCAGAATTTGACAATTTCTTAAATGTAATCTTAATTGTGAAGCTGTTTTTTTTTCTCTGTAGGTACTTTTAAAGAGTAAAGGAATTCAAAATTAGTGTGCAAAAATTTTACATTCTACACACTGAAATGCAAAGAAATTAGGGCAACTGTAGACCCAGGTGATTTCCCTGTTGTTTCTTTAGAAGGAAAGTGAAATCCAAGCCATTCCAGACCAAGTAATACAACAATTTGGTTTAATTAATTTACTTTGTTTTTACAAATAATTGCAGTTCTCCTTGAAATATTTTTCAACATCAGAGGGTTTCTTTTTGTTAGGGGATGGGGAAGTAAATGGATTTGAAGACCATACATAACTATAGCAAGTCAACAATCATCTGTTTTCTACTTGTTATAAAATTGTGTGTTTCTCTATTGCTTTTGAATAGAAGCTGTCTGTGGAGCCTGTTCAGCAGACCCCGTTAGAGGTAATCTCATTATTGCTGAATTTAAATCGCACAAAATGTACGTGCTGACCTATACTGAAAATACTTTTATTTTAGAAATTTTCTATCAAAATAAAGCTTGTGCTTTAGTAATTATATACTTGTGACGTCTGTTATTCAAGTAATTGTACAGCTGCAGATTGGCAGTAACAGATTTTACATTTGCAGAATTGGCAATAACAATTTGTGAGAGGGTACAATTTGTACCCGGCACTATTCTGTATCCAGTTGGCTTACTCTATTATGTAACACTGATACACTTATGCCTTTCTGTCTCCATCTCTTCCTTTCTCTTTTTCTCTGTTTCATGTCTGTCATACTTTCAGCTGGCAGAGAACATTCTGCTCATGATTAAGGTTAGCTGTCAAGCTTTTTCTTAATTGGGTGAAAAGATATGTGTGAGTTTGAACCATATTCAAAGATAGTGAAGAATTTATCTAATTTGGTTCTTACTGCAATAGGCCTGCTAGCTCGCTCACTGTCATTCTGCAGCACACCAGCCCTTCAACCTTTCTTGGCCTATTAAAGTTACAAGTGAGCAGTAATGTTCACTTGAAATGTACAACACTGCAACGGCTTACTACAATCATTTCTCAAAATTCTTAGGAAATGGAGGTTGTAGAAAATTTTCTTTATTTTTAAATCTCAAGTGGAACCATTTTCTAAATTTTGTATTCAAATGTAAGAAGTAGATGTGTAAGATTCATTTTGATAGTTACATTTCTAAATACATCTTTCTGAAAACCTAAGGCACTTTCACTGTATTTGTATTTTATAACGTCTGCTCCTACTCTGCTCCTCCTAACTGCTACCTTTATGATTGATTAAAATCAAAATGCATTATAGCAAACAGTAGCTTGATCGGTGATTTAAGGGATGTTTTGATGCAAAGCAACTAGTATTATTTATGACAACAATCTGCCTTGTAACTTAAGCATGTCATCTAATCTGTCCAGAATAAAGCATGCATGGAGATCAGTAAATTCACAGCTCTCCCACCAAAACCACCAAGTGGGCAGCAGAATTCATTCGATGATGAAAATGGAACCTCTAAGAAGGCAAGAGTTTCCTTTGGCCGTGGGTTTTTCAAGATTAAAGGTGGCAAGCGAGCAGCAAGTGCACCCAATCTGGGTAAGTAACTTTCATTTACTTGCCTGGTAATTTTAGTTGGTAAGGAAAGATTTCATAGCTTTGTGAATTCAAAGTATGGACCTGGCATGTTAGTAGTATTTACTTCACTTAGTCATGACGTTCTTTGCTTTTGCAAGGTGCTTTATTGAATATATGTTTTGGATACCAATTGCACTTGCAGTGCATGGCTTTTCTGCTGTATTTGGTCATTTGAATGACCTGAGGCTGGAAAAGAATCATGGAATACTAAATGTATGATTTTCATATGTAATGGATTAGACCCCTGAACCAGTTTCTTCCAGTGTTTTCTTTAAATAATGTCTCTTATTCTTTTTAGATGAACTTTTTTCTGCCTAATAATTTTTTATAACCAGTGAGCGTATGTATAGTTTATACCAAATACTCTCCACTGATATTGGAATAAACCAAATGTTGTCCTATATACACCTAAGGATTTACAAATAATTCAGGATTGATTTTATCGGTATATTCAAATGTTGTTTTCTCATTGTGTGGTGCCATCTAGAGGCAAAACTACAAGAGAACTGAAATGTCTGAAAGCAAAAAGCAGGTTGATGTTATAGCCAACACTTTTCACCAAACCTTGAAGCCTCATATCTGAAATAGTCTTTCTCTTTAGATTTGTCAGTATTTTAAGCGTTTTCCATTTTTAAATCTCAACCCAGAGATGAGTCTTTTTTAAAGTACATTAACTGAGGCAATCCAGTCAGTATTCTAATCAGGGAGTAGAAACCATTGTGTATTTTTGCACAAAATTGTGTTTGTGTTGTGAACTTTCCTGACCTTTTTGAGCAGTCTGTGTTTGTAAATTGATCTGTACTTTACCTTGTTTCCCATATTCTGTGCTGCTGTACTTCCCACGATCATACTCATTTTCTGGATGGCTGAAGATCGCAGTCGAAGTGCAAGCGCACCGATGCTAGGTATAGTATAGTTGCTTGCTTGACTGCACCAATGCCTTGCTATGGACTTATCTTCCAGCTGTTCATTACTGTGTGTTCAGTACAGCTAATGTGATGGTGAGCTTTAATAGAACATTAGTGAAAGCAGTATTTACCTTTCAACCACAGAATGTTTATTTTCAACTTTACAAACTGCCTTTAAGCTGGTGTGAACCAAAATTTCTATTGCCATTTTCATATCCTTCACATAACCACTATCGTTTTCATCTTCAGCATTTATTTAACATATTTTCCATCCTCCACTTAGCTGCGAGTTGCTGGATTTGATGCTGTTAAATCTAGAAGCTTTTGCTTTGTCTGATTCTTCACACTGTTATTGTATATGCAGTTGTAGATTGAGCCGATATGATCAAGCTTTATGGGGCTTGTTTCTGCACCTATTGGGTACCATGACAATGGCCAGCCAGTAGGGTGGCTACAAAAAGTTTAACCCAATCCAGTCTGAACTCCTAATTAATAAAGCCAACTACGAAAGAATCACATTAGAGGGAGTGTCAGCCTTTCCTTTTTTTTTACTGTGCTGTGGAGGAGAAGCATTACGGTAGAGGTTTGGTTCAGGACATTATTTGGAAGTTTAAATTGGTGCTCCAGCTCCCAAAATTGAAAACAAATCCCACATTCAGATACTTTAAATTCAGATTTAGTCTCTTTGAAATTTAAATGTGTCAAACAATAGCTTTTTTTAAAAAGATAATTCAGATTTTTTTAAAAAAAACACTTGCATGGACAGCTGTCCTTATAGCATGGTTCACATCATAAGAGCTGTCAGTAGTCAAAACATGTTGCAGCAATATGGCCATGCTCACATTAAATCTCACCTGAACTTTCAATATTTCTTGGAATTTTACTTACTGCAGGAAATTGTTCCTTCTGCATGTATTGGAAATGCAAAACAGATTCCATTAGTCCCTACACTTGGGATGCAGATTTCCTGTGGCTATGGATCAGTTTTTAGTTTTTCCGGACACATGAGGATACTACTAGTGAAGTGTGTCTGAGCAGGCACAGGATAAACCTCTCCATGCTGGTGAGGAAACTGACTATTTTTTTAAATTAATTCTGAGGCTAATCATTTCCCCAATAAAATAGGGACTGCCTTAAGGACATTCCTGTTTAAGGAGAATATCCAGTGTTATAGCTAGTCTAAGTCAAGAATTGCTGTGTCTCTGAACATCACAAATAGTAATACAGCTGACTCCAGTCCATCACAGTAAGGCATTTGCAGACAACTTCTGATAGATAGAAAATTGTACAGAAGTTGATAGTTTGAGTGAATTGAAGATTTTTAATTTGCTTATGAACTGAGACAATAAGCATTCTTCATCCATCTGTGTGGAAAAACTTCCTCTGGTTTGGTAACAGGATCAGACTTCTTAAAAACACCTTGAGATTTATGGTGGGTGTAGTCTAAGATAAGACCTTGTCTTCAGGTACACATTTGAAAATTACAAAAAAATTGGACCTCATCACAAGGTGACTTGTCTCCTAATCATGGCACCAATACCCATGTTCTCAGCAAGTCAGCTGCAGATTGTGATGTGTCATTGTTGAGCATCGTCACCTAGCATCCCTAAAACTAATCGTGCAAAGGGATTATTGGGAACTAGGGCTAAACTGAAGCATCATGTTTACATATTTTCTGTGGTGAAAGACTGTTGGCAATCACAGTTTGGAGGGCAGTTACACCCATGCTCATCTTTCCACTTCAATAAAACCTTTATTTTATAAACAAAATGTATTTTTCATGTGAATGCTAGAAGACAGGGTCATTGGTTTACAACTCACAATAAAAATGTCATCCTGGCTTTGGCCCACTACCACAGAAAATGCTTCAAAAATATTTAATATTATTATCAAATGCAGCTGAAACTGAGAAGGAACCTACAGATGGTTTGCTGCGCTCAGCAGAGGCTGACAGCTTTCAGACGTCTCCATCTTCTCCAGAATCCAAGAAGAAGGCGAAAGGAATAAAAAAATTATTTGGGAAGTAAGTGAATAACGTGAACCATTGTTCCTTTCAAACTGTTTGAGTAACTTGTTACTGATCAGTCTCAAAATGTCTTGTCTATATATCAAAAAAATCCTCACTAGATGTGATACCTTCAGAACGATCTCCTTTTGTGACTTCTGTCAAAGAAGATTTGATGTACGGACTTGATGCTTAATCTATTTGAACCTACTAGTATTCTTTGGTCACTACACTTTAAAGTAAAATCTTGTGAAAGACCTTGAGACATTAACAATGTGATTAGATGCTGAATCAAATGTAAGAAATATAATTTATTCGAATTGTGCTGCAGACAATTGAACAATTTATGTAATATTTCTTAGATTTTAGTTGACCACAGGTACATAAATACTAGGTTTTTTTTCTGTAGTTGATCAGGTTGGAAACTTATTCCTATTATAAGGGAATCATTTTTTAAATTTTTCCCTCCAAAACCAGGCTTAAAAGAAGTCAGTCAACCAACTTTAATCCTGATGAAATGTCTGATACAGAGTTCAAGAGAGGAGGAACCAGAGCTACAGCAGGTCCTAGACTTGGCTGGTCCCGTGACCTACAGCAAACTAACACGTAAGTTGCTCTTTGTAGAACTATCCTTTTTTTTATCAACATCTTGCTCTTGTTTCATTAAAAGAGCTAATTTAAGCCATATTGCTACTAATCTGTTCCTTGTCTGATAATTTACAGTGTATTCCTATTATGGTACATCATAGAAATTAGTCATAACGTTTCTGAATGGGATTTGTTTTAATGCATGTGTCAGTATGAATTGTGTGGTATCTATAGAAATAAGATGTGTATTAATGGTTTTAACTAGAAGTTTGTACACCAATTGGATATAAATCAATCCTTAACAGCTAAATTCTCTTTCTTCCCTTTCTTTGTTTCTCTTTCATTGGGCAGTGACTTGGACACTCCTTTTGCAAAATGGACTAAAGAGCAGGTGTGCAACTGGCTGCATGAGCAAGGATTGGGCATCTACACGGGAAGTTCTAAGTCCTGGATCACTTCAGGACAGACTTTGTTGCATGCATCTCAGCAGGACCTGGAGAGGGTGAGATATATTAAAATCTGAGGCTTATTGCTGAATAAATGTCTTCCTGATCATCTTGTTTTTAATATTTTATGTTTTAAAAAAAGTTTAACATATTTAGTATATCTTCAAATAATTCCTTAACTGATTGTTTAGCACATTTTATGTCTAGAATATACTGGTCTAGTATCTCTTGAAAAGACGTGTTTATTGAGTCCCAGCCATAATTGGTGTTTGCCTTCACCAACTGTCATTGTCATGTTTATCCAATTCTTATCCAATGTTAAATTAAATATTTCACAGTGATGGAGTGTGTGGTAGGAGAGATAGAACACAAGTAGCAGCACTAGAAATTTGTTACCTTTAGGCTATCTGGAAATCTCCATAGACAACATCATATCCCTCTGTCAGAAGGAAGGACCAGGCAGCTTTAAGTTTTCTAATTCTTAATTGCTTTCAGCTTGAAGATGCATGTAACCAGTGTATGGGAGATTCAATCATTCAGTCTTTTCTAATTATCATTTTATTTTCTTTCATTAATTCACCTAAGGTCTTTATTGTAATAATAATTTATTGTTATCTATTTCCTCAAGTAGGTATTTCTGATCCTGAAAGTTTGGTTTGTGGAACAATTTGTGAAAGTTTGCTTTTAACTCGCTACTTTCTCTGAATAGGAACTTGGAATAAAACATCCCCTACACAGGAAGAAACTGCAGCTAGCTCTGCAGGCAGTTGGATCTGAAGAAGAGGATAACAGAGGAAAGCTGGATTACAACTGGGTCACAAGTAAGTCATATTTAGTAGCTCTTAATTCCTTATAAATCCTGTTAGCCCATTTAGTGTAGTTTTAACTTTAAATACATGGCCAAGAGCTCAATCCCAGAATTAATGCGATTGAATTTGGGTTGATAATTAGATAAATAGGGAAAATGCAGTGAATGTATTACTTTGGACCTTAAACTAATTCCAATTATATGCACAAGTCTTGGGGCTCTTTTGTAATCCATTTTCAAATAAATGTCACCACAGGAAAAATGTGTGTATTTTCTATCACAGAAGACCAGTTACAATATTTAAACAATGTGTGTAATGTTTGAGCATTTAGCTATCTTTGAACAGTGGTACCTTTTTTAGTTTTTGAATCTGAAACATATAACTATTAATTCATTCTTTAGGGTGGCTAGACGATATTGGGCTACCCCAGTACAAGACTCAGTTTGATGAAGGAAGAGTTGATGGCCGAATGCTCCATTATATGACTGTGGTAAATAAATCTAGTAATGAAACTTTACTTATTTTTTGTTCTATTTGGTCTTATGTGTAGTACTTTTTGTAGGAAATATTATGTTTTAGTAGTGAATTTCAGTGTTACAATAGTTTTCCATTGCAAGGCATTATAAATACAAAATTGAAGCTGTTATTTGCAGCTAATGTATAATCTTTAACATTAAATTTGATTTATATATTTTGTCCTACATATATTTAGGATATGTGCCCTGAGGGTCTTGAGTTCCCAAAATAAAACATCTTCCGACTTGTGCTTTACTTGCTTTATTTGCAGGATGATGTGTTATCACTGAAAGTTGTAAGTGTGCTCCATCACCTGAGCATTAAGCGAGCCATTCAGGTTCTGAGAATCAATCATTTTGAAACCAACTGTCTTCGTAGGAGACCATCTGATGAGGTAAGATGAACATTTACTTTGACTAAAGAATGATAGCAGTGGTGCAGGATTTAGCGAAATTAAGCGTAGTAGTTTATAGTGATGAGATGCAAATTAAAATTTCATGCCCTCTCTCCACTCTGTTAATCGTGAGCAATTCAGCTGTTGAAAGAAGCTGAAAGGAAGGTTTGACATGACGTTGCTACCTACACTTATGGGTATAATGTGCAAGAAGTAATGTTGAATGACCTGGAGGTGGACCCATTATTTTACAGTTCCTTTTAACTAGAATCCTCAAGTTGTTGGAGCCAGGTGATTGCAATATAACAGATTGCCCTGTATAAGGAGAAGTAGGATTCAAAAATTTTGAATCATGTTGTTTAAAATTGAAGGAAAATGAGGTCGAATCTCCTGCCTTAAGATACAACCAAGGTTGCAATGAATAGGAAGGATTAGGTGTGTTTAATAATGATTTGTTTGATACTAAACCTGTAAATTGTTAGTAAAGAAAATACTCATGAAGGTAAAGAGTTTCACAGTTAATGGTGATGGGAGTCTTGAAAAGCAACTGGGGGTGAATGGTGCAGGTAATGGGTTTAGATTGATGTGGTAAACATTTGCATGATTGCCATCAAAAGTCAAGTTGAAAATTCACTTAGCTTTGACATCTTGAAGATTGTACCTTTGAAATCATTAGCCCCGATGAACCTGAAGTAGAAACTCCATGTAAGGAATATAATTCTCATCTCCTAGAATAACATCACCCCAGCTGAAGTTTCCCAGTGGACAAATCACCGAGTAATGGAATGGCTGCGCTCGGTTGATCTTGCTGAATATGCACCCAATCTACGAGGTAGTGGCGTACATGGTGGATTAATGGTAAGGCTATCTGAAGAACTCAAGAACGTATAGCAAGATACAGCAGTAAACCTTTATTGATGATTAATTAATACATTACACTAGCTTTTTAAAAAATGATATTGCTGTGTCTAATGCACAGGTACAACATTGTTTGAAAAACCTAAATAAAAAAGCACTATTGCTAAGTATACATTGGATGACAGTGCAGCTTCTCATTCTCTGACAGCAGAAATTGTCTTTGAATAGTGTGAAAACTGCTAGGATTATTCTCTGCATATACCTTTATAGTGTTTATGGTGTGGGGGAAGGCAATGCACAAATAAGAGTAAATGTTTTTTGTACAGCATCATAACTGTTGTCTCATCAATCCTAGCAGTAAATTGGAGAATAATTAATCGCCTCAAAGTTAATTCATTTGGTCTCCAGTGGATTTGATACTATGATTCTAGCCACTAGTCAACACGATGCATATTATTTTTCTATTTGCATTTTCTGTACCAGCAAGTTGGTAAAAATATGCTTTTTCTTCAGTGGAAAACTTGATAAAATAGGGATTGTTATTTCAAAGTTTTAATGCCTCACACTGTACATTACCAGTTCCTGAAACATAAATTTAGTTGTAATAAATGGCATATCTTTATGATGTGAAACATTTTGCATTGATATAGGTACAGCAGTCATTATTGAGCCAGTTCATTAAAAGCTGGCCCAAAATAAGCAAATAATTGCATCTATTTTTGATTTCGTAAGAACACTTAGCTTAATTTCTGTAACCTTTGCCCATAAATTACAAATGGATACTGATATCACTTTGCAGTTGTAGTTTTAACAATTTCTCTTCCTATCTTCACAGGTATTAGAACCTCGTTTTAATGTGGAAACACTAGCAATGTTACTGAACATCTCTCCCAACAAAACACTACTTAGACGTCACTTAGCCACTCATTTTAACTTGCTGATAGGTCATGATGCTCAACAGCAAAAACGTGAGTCCATGGAATCCCCAGATTATGTCCTCCTTACAGCTACTGCCAAAGTAAAGGTAGGGAAAATCATCTTGGTATAATGTGAAATACATGGTTGTGCTTTTCTTATGTTAGTGTCTTATTCTTTTGGCCTTTACAGGGTTTTTTGCAAATTAATTTAAAAAATATAACTGATCTCAACAATGTACAGTACTTTTGAAAATGCTTTTGTTTATTTTGATTATAAATTTAGCACTCTCGTCCAAATTAAATTGACTTGGTCTGTTCACTTTTCAATCCTTCCGATTCAATTAGAATAATTTTATTGTTTGTAGCCAAAAAAGCTTGCCTTCAGCAACTTTGGAAGCCTGAGGAAGCGAAAGCAGGATGATGAAGAATACGTGTGTCCAATGGAAATAGGACTGCCAGCAGGAGCAGGCTTCAGGCAAGGAAATAAACAAGGACGAGGAATTGAACTGAGAGTGTACAACGATGATGACCTGGACAGGATAGAACAGGTATAAAAATCCCAATTGTAAAACATATTTGACTTTATTCATTAATTACAATAACATGAATGATCCAAATTTTCAGACTTTGTTAAACCATAGATATTCATGTTGTTCATATGTAGCCATAAAAATGATCATGTTAACACACGATTGCTTTTGCCTGTTGAATGTCGTGATCTATTCTAGAGCAGTGTTGGTCAACCTTTTTGGTCTGCCAACAAAATACATTTTCTTGGTTTATGCTATTTATTCAATGAAGAAAAAAANTGGAAGCACATTAATAATGGAACTTTGACTTACCTAGACTAGTGCGAATGTTCAGGGCTACTTCTTGTCAGACCAGGGGTGGCCACTTCTGACCTGCGGGCCAATTGTTGGCCACCATTGATCTATAGTGTCACCTCTATGCAGAAGGTCAATCGCAAAGCTGATTCTCGCTTGTAAAACTTGGATGGTTGAGACTTTTAGCAATCTGAATGATCTGTAAGCAACAAATTCTGTCTGCCTGTGTTCCCTGTTGCATTAATTTATGAAATTTCTGTTGCAATTACCTGTTGTATGTTGTATGTTATTAAATATGCAGACAGACTATACACCAATGTTTTCAGTTTCCTTCATTTGCATTAGTACCATATTGTTCTGAATAAGAGTTAAAACGTGCAATAGAGTAGTTAATGATGAAGCACTCAAAAAAAGTGTTCGTAAACAGTTAGGAGTCAGAGAATTTTTTTTTCTAAAATTAAACAGACTAGGTCTTAAATTTTGGCTGTGTAGTATCAAAATTGTGTGATATTTATTTTGTTTTAGATGGATGACTCTGAAGGAACAGTGAGGCAAATTGGAGCATTCTCTGAAGGAATCAACAATTTAACTGTAAGTACAACTGTTAATGGCTTAGAAAATGAATCGATTAAAAATTAGTCATTTACTTGTGCTGTCCTGTGTTCTCTCCTTCCCCCTCCAAGTATTGTAAAGCTATAATTGGAGTCATTTGCAATGTGTTTGTTCATGGTTACACTGCCTTTCCTGTTTCCTGACATTTATTTTTATTCTCTTTCAAGCATATGTTAAAAGAAGATGAACTATTTAAAGATGTGAGTGGGCGTTCTCCCTGTGCCAGTATGCCAGATGAGGATTCAAATGTGTGATCCTGAAGAGAAAGAGAATCCAGACTTATACTTATGAAAGTGACTTTTAAAAACTAAGACCAACTGCTGGATAACAAATCTCCTGCACTACTTATTACATTTGTAACACGTTACTTTATGTTAACAGAAAATGCATGAAAGAGAACAGTGTAACCTGTTTATAGTCACCACCAAATACTAAAGTATTTATTTCAGTGTTCATATACTATTTGGAAGTTAAAGATCTGGTATCTACAGTTTGAAACGTATCAGGTACAGTTGACTCGAATGTGGATAAATGTTTTGATATAGATTCCAGAAAAGGAGTGATTTTTTTTCAAAAGAATCAAGGAAAATGGGTGTCAACCCTTATAAAATCAATAGTTGTATCTGTTTTGTCAGTCCAAAGATGCTAGTGATTTGTCTTTCTAGAGACTTTAAACAATGATTCAGTGCAGTATTAAAGATCATCTTGCATTCAAATTTCGTCAACACTGGGGAAGTCATAGCAATGACCAACTCTGACTGCAGAGATGTTTCGGCATTCTCCAAAACCCTTTAGAAACGCTTACTGTTGTGGGATCTGGTTAGTCCAAGTCACCAATAGACTGGTTTGTGCTGACAAAAAATATCTACTTTCCTTAGAAACCATAAAGTATGTAGCAATATTGAGAGAATGCCTTAAATAACCAAAACAATACTGCCATTTTAATCTACAGTATCACTTATTTACTTAGTTACTCTGTCACAACAATTAATTTTGTACTTTTTGTAACGTTTTCTAAAATCCGGTAAAGATGAGCTTTTAATGAGTGACTTTGAATGGGGTTAACTAGTGCAATGATTTGTATGGACGTAGGGATTGCGTACCAGCTGGTTACTGGCATAATCCACATAGAATTTATCATTTAGTTATTTCTCAATAGTATGAAATTTAAAAGTACTGTAATTCCTGTTTGTATCCCAAATTACAGTCTGCTATGGGTACTCAGTGCAGGATATTACTGTGGGAATGGAGTGATCATTTTTTTAAAATGTCCAAACATTTACATGGTACCTTTGCAAGAAAGATTGTTTGAACTACTTCCATTTTGTTCCCAAGAGAATAACTGGAGAATTTGTGCCATTGGTAGGTTATACAGTATCGATATTCTAAATCTAACAACAGAATTTGATTGGGGATCTGGGTGATTACATCTTTTTAATATTGTAGAGTATTTTAGCAGTTCTGTGATTAGAAATGCAATCCCTAAAATATGAAACCCTGTCTGAGCAAATGCATTATTTACCTGTGTATATTTGTATCTATCAACTTGTAATTGATTTTCATTACCTATTGAGTCAGTTTTGATACATTTCAATATTTTTATTTTATGGTAATACCAAATAAGTCAAAGAAACTGGTAATTGTGTTGATAAGACATCAGATTTAAACACTTGTTCAAAACACAACCTAATGCTTAAAACAAGGTGCCATATTTCTACTGTACTCATGAAATACCTGTATGCTAAAAATGTTTTTCTACGTTTTTAAAAAATGCATTGACATCATATCAGTAGTAGGAACAATAATTTTTCAGTGGGTAATGTACTTGTATTCAAAATGATAATATAATGGGACATGATTGTCTTCAAAATATCAACAAAACTGTCAGTTATCAAGTTGGGTTTTTTTATTTGGAAAGGAAATCTTGTCTCCATCTCAGCATTTCTTATGCTTTTATTTGTTTATTTATTTCATCATGTTATCAGTAGCCATTATTATACATTGTGATTTTATGTTGAGGGTTTATTTGTACAATGTTTTGCAGCACATTTTTGTGTTCTACATTATCTATCGCCAACAATTTTCTGAAGGAAGTTCAAGTTAATTATCCTCTTGCTGTCTAACATAGGGTTTGATATTAAAACTAGACCTCTCACTAATGCCTCTAAGTAAATAACTAATTATTAAGTGGTTATGTAACCCTTTTTTCTCTCCCAACAATTGATTAATAAACAAGTATATTCCTTCAGAGCCATTACAATATAAATATTGCTGCAAAATCTGAGGGAGAACCTTAAGATATTTGAACACTACATATATGCAACAAATTAAGCCATACTTTATAGCCCTATGGAGGGGAAGTTTGTCTCTGGAAACAGTGAATAGACTGAACTGCTCTATCAAAGCAATAATGTTTAAATATTTAAGCCATCATTTATGAACCATTACCCTGATTACAGATATGTGCATTATATATTGCCCCAAATGTGTTTCAATGTAAAATAAAAACTTGCATAATATATACGATGTGTGTTTTACATTCAGTTTGAGTTGCAGTTTGACAATACCAAACTTCAAAAAGTATAAACTTACTCCTTTAGAACATCAGGGAAATTTTTTGCAAATTAATTTAGTTAAATAAAGTACTTTTCAGACTTGTTGGAATTATATTGCCAATTTTATGTAAGAAAATTTGGGATGAAGAATAACACATTGGAATAAGAAAACAAACCTTGTGTGGTACAGTATTTCCAACATGTTCATGTATGATTGATGCTATATTGCACAAATTGATGCACAAACACTCAGGCTCATAAAAAAATGCAAGATTCTGTTAGAAGAAATTTCTATTATTTTCTTTATCCTTTATTTGAAAATAGTGAGTACACTTGCACAATGTCTGTTAGCTATCAACCAAATGGCCAATGATGTGTCCAGTTAATAGCAATCAGTAGTGCAAATTAAGAATATATCGTAAAATGGATTGACTGTATTTTGTGGGTTAAACATGAAAGCCAATTGCGCACAGCAGTGTCCCACAAACAATCGTGGATTGAGTGACCAATTTTTTAAAATTAATGTTTGGAGATTATTACCCCCAGAAAGCGATCCACCAATCGACTAACAACCAGTCCTGTGCTTAAAATAATCCTTGCATTTCATGCACAAATGCATAATCTGAGTTTGGTTTGAGCAATTTCATTGTGTGTGGTTGATTTTGCAAAATCTGGAACTTTTTTTTTAAAAAAGTTTACTGCTAATACAAACAATACTGGTTCAACCACAGCAACTTGCATTTATATAGCGCCCTTCACACAGGGTAGCATCCTGGAGTGATTGACAAAATGGAGTCTGACCCCGAGTCGGGGAGAGGGAGGTGGGAGGTGACCATAGGCATGATCAAAAAGGAATGTCTTTAGTTGGGATTTAAAAGGGGAGGGATTGAGGGAGAGAATTCCAGAGTTTACTGGTTTGTTTTCTTGCATTGAGCAGCTGTTCTGTTTCAATTGAGTCATTTCCAAGTTGTTAAAACATCAATCTGTTCCCAAAATGGGTGGTGAAGTACAAGGATAGGCTGAACCGGCCTCCTATAATGACGATGTGACTCAAGCATTAGTTTAACAAACCTAGGAAGTTTAACTGAGCTTCTCACTGAGCTACGTTTCGTAACTCCCCAGTTGTGTCTCCTCAAACATTGAAAGTCAGTTTGAACGTTTGTAGATGTGTGGTTCTGCAGAGAGTCAGCTTTCAATTGTACTTCCTGATCACCAGCACTGGAAAACCTGAATTATAATCTAGGTGTGAAATAATAATACTTGCATTTGAAATGGGCCAAAACCCGTCACAGGAAGTGGTCCCCGAGAGTAAGTCTGATAACATTTGTGAGATTTTCAACCAGGGTGTTGTCTACGCGTCTCAGCAACTGAAAAAATACCTGGGATTTGAAGATCCTCAGGGGAAACTGCAAGTCAGTATTAACACTTTAAACGAGATTTTCCTGGTGAATTTCATAATGTTTTCCCTGGAGAAAGGGGTCCAAGATCGTATAACCACCTCCAAGATGACAACTCAGCAGTCGCTGCTGTTGGGTGTGGATTGGATCTGGACAATCCATGGATCAGAGAAGAGTGTCAAGTTGCAAATTGCGGTTCAGACCTTACAGATGGCGGATCAAAACCACAGTGAAATTGACCAGAATGTGGTCCTTTGCAGCAACAGTGAGGAAGACAAGTTAGCAGACCAGAGCAGGTCTGAAAAGCTGGTCGATTTTTGTTCGCGCGTTGGTGAGGACTGTGTGGGGATATTTATTGTGTTTGGAGTCCGTGGAACACCGAGAGAAGTCAGAGGAGTGCTCCTGGACAGTGTCAGGAATGGCACCATCATTGACCATGAGTTAAAACAGTTTATTGCTCAGACGGACAGTTTTATTTGTACCAGAGAATTGTTGGAGACCTGCCTCTCTAAGACAAACAGACTCAAAAGTATAGAAAATGCTTATATAAATTTTCATTGATTATATTCAGTTTAATCATACTTCCAGAATAGCTGGTCGGGTTTTTGTTTGGGGGGAGAGGGGAGATGTATTAAGTCATTGTCAGCCTTTCACCTGAACTGCTTCATAAATCTTTTATGCAGTTTCACTCAAGTGGCATCCACCTATTTAACATGAAATGTGTTCCTGCATTGCTTGTTGTCCTTAAATGCTTACAGAACAAGGAATCTTGTTTTGGTGGGTCAGTTTAATTTCTGCACCTGTTATTCTGGAAATATTGCAATTCTGGGGTGTTTCATACTCAACTGGAGCATACTCGATCTTGGCATTGCAAGAGCCTTTTATTCTCTTGGTTCATAAAGTCATGGATCTGTGTGGTGTTAATGGAAGGGTCCATCCAATTATGAGCGAACTACAACAATAACTTGCACTTGTTCAATGCCTTTTACTTTTACTAGGTCTGCCAACCTGGCATTATTATTATTATTATTATTATCCCCTCGCTCAACAGACACCATCCAGCTTTACAGCCCCTGCCCCACCATCAGTGGTTAGGCTTTGCATTCTGCCCCTACTCCCTGGAATTCCATCTCATTCCCTCTGCGTTCCCTTGTCTCCTTAAAGGTCTGCCTCAAGACCTTCCTCTTTGATTGCACTTTCGACCGTCTTCTCCCCACTCCTAGCTCTGCACTGTCTGGAGTCTTGGGACATTTCCTGCCATGAAAGGTGCTATATTAAGGTAACTTGGTTCCAGTTTTAGAAATTATTGCTGTGCATTGGTTATAAAACGGTGGTGTGTACCTCTTCACTGATACTTGAAATAAAATCTACCATTTTAAGCAACACTGTTATTCTTTATTATGTCAATAGCTTTCAAAATAAATATATTATTAACATAAAATGGAACATTTAGCATTGAAAATGCTGCCTACACAGGCTAAATGTTTATGATTAACTTATGGAAATATATTTACCTTAATATGTTTTAAAATATATCAATGAACATCTGGCAAGCTGCTGAACTAGATGTACCACACCTTCAGAAGGCAAGCACTGGGTCATGGTGAATGGCTGTGTGTCATCTAATCTCATCTCAATATTAACACAAGGCTGATTCAGGGAAAGGATCTTTGTCAAACACAGTATCATATCGTTAATGTTCCACTAGATGTTGTCAAAAAATGATAACTCCTTTCCAATATTACCTTGTGGCAACATCATTTAATACTTAATTCATGTATTCAAATTAACTAAAATCAAACTTGAATGGCAATATTGTTTGTAAAAATTATATTCCTAATCGTCCACAAATCAGCTTGAGAAACAATTAAATTAACTATTTAATTTTGCAGCAAAATAGAAATCTTATTATGAAAAAAATGAGCAATGTGTGTGTCATGTAAATTAACTTAACACTCCAGGTACTAAACAGCCAGGAAAGGATCTGGGGACTTTCAGAAAGTCAGTGGTGGATAAGAAATTAATTGTAGTAGCTGCTAACTCTTAACTGCAGGATCATCTCATCAAATGACTCATCATAAATGCTTGAACTGCAGTTTGAAAAGTCAACATCAGTAGATCAACACCCAACCATTTAGTACAAAGTGCAATGTATATTCTTGGCTTGCTTGAATCCTTTGTGCCATACTTCCTTTTTTTTAAGGTTGTAAAATGGATAGCCGTATTTCTGCCACGTATGACACTTGTCTATTTAGATTTCGGTACTTTCAGAAGATGTAATATAGGGAAATAATTTCTGCTGGTACCCAAAGAGCTCCTGGGCAGTCATTTTATCCACAATTAAGGAGTGTTTTTGCAATGAGTATATGGGGATCAGGCGAGGAAATGGCAGCGAATGAACACTTTTCTCTGTGAGCCGGTGCAGACTCAATGGACTGAATACACTCCTATCCCATAAATGTTTATGATTCTACTTTAATGACTATGTAAAGACCAGCAGCAAAACAAATTGAAAGGAAAATATATTCCCATGTTATTTTTAATCAGTCTTATTAATCAGTCCTTGTAATTGATAAAGAATATTAATCATCCTTGCTCTTGATATAGCACCTTTTATGTCATGAGCACATCTCAAAGCACTTCACAAGAGCCACTGTAAAGCGGAGTGAATGCATATTTTGTAAGCCATCAAGCTAAGTAAATGGACAAGTGAAAAAAAATAAGAAAAACACATTGACTTTTTATATTATTTGTTGTAACATCATACTAGAAATAAGAATATGCAAATCGTCATATGCTTTTACAGTGGTATTAGAAGATGGTACAGAAAAAAAACACTTGTGTAATCTACATCCTTGTATACCTTTCCTAGATAGGTTTGCATGCAAAATTAATGTAGAATATATGGAGTATGTTTGCAAAATTTACAACAAATCAAATACAACAGTCTCCCTTGCATATAAAGTGTAGGAAACCAAATGAGTGTGAATTTACTTTAACTGCTTTGTGGAATTATAACTGGTGCATATATGATTTCTCGCTTTGCATACTTTAGGAACAGAACTTGAATATGTAGCATTGTATCTCAAGAAACCCAGTCACTGCCGAACTTCAAAATCCTCCTGACGCAACCCTGATCACACATCAACATTCATCATCTATTAGCTTAAAATGAGTTGTTTACCCAGAGTCAAACACTGCAATGCAGAATAAGCACAATTCAAAATAGCACTGTGTTGCTGCACAATTTGTAATTGAAAAGCATGCAGACATTTTGACCTCCAACTTGCATTATATAAACATAACAGTAACATTAGCCATGAATCGTATTTTCCTCTTTGACAAAGAGGACCCTCTTCCATTGGTGTTAATATAAAAAACGTATATTTGGGCTATAGCCAAGTTTATCAAGGTTTTGGTTGCACGCAAACTGTATCATTGGTGGAGGACCACACATCAGAATTAGAACGTCGTCTCCAGGTGGTGGCAGATGGTTGCTGATCATCTCGTCATTCACAAAGCCTTCACTGTACTTCCAGCCTTTTAAAACAAAGAGCAGAAACGAGACCAGTAAAGGGCAGTTTTAATGTTATACTAAAGAAGTTACAGCATTTGCAGCCATTCAGCCCATCAAAACCAAACTGGTGCGAGCTCATCCACGGGAGCTAACCAATCTGATCCAATTCCCTGCTCTTTCTCTCTACACATTTACATTTTTAGAAGGTGGTAGTTGGGATTTGTGAAAACCCAACCTGGTCAGCCCTTTTGCCTACAAATAAGCAATGGCTACACTTTACAGAAAACCCTGTATTTGAGTGATAAGATACTATATCGAATGCAAGGATTCATATGTATTATTACTCAACATTCACTGAGCAAGTGTGCAGGAAGCTGATGCCAGCTGGCCTCCACGTTAAAAAATGGTCATCCTCTGGATCAGGTTGTTACTGACAACATTTCCGATATCAATCTCTAACAGGAAAGTGACTTGCATTTCATTAAGTTGTAAGATCTAACCTGAGAGCCACTGCATATGACTCTCTGTTCCTTCATAAGTTCTTTATAACGTTTTTATAGAGTGGAAAAAATGGATCTTAAAGAGTAAACGCTTGTTCTACGTTAACTATTGATTACTTACCTTCAGGTGCTTTATCCAAAGTATACCAGATTATGACACGATGGGGATGTTCAGCCTCAATATCTTCCAGCTCAGTTCGCAAAAGAATATCTTTCTCAGTCTGCAAAACAGTATCAAAACATGAGCCACTTTTATAGAAACTCTTTGCACTAGGTAGCAAGGTGTTGGTAATCTAACTGCTTGTACAGCAATGTCAGATCATTACTGCCTCCCACCCCTAGTTTTATTCTCAAGAGTTATAACATTTATATATCTTCTTGTTAACAAATGTGCCCGTTACTAAGAGCTTTATCAGTGGTTAGGATAGAAATAGATTTGGGAACAGCAATTTGGGAAACCTTGCAGGTCATCAAATGGTAAGTTATATCCTAATCTTTTTATCCTTCTGTGTTGGGTTAGCTTGAATGTAATTATCATAATATCCCAATTAATTGTTATATAAGCAATATATATATATTCATATATATATATATTTTATATATATATATATATATATATATATAACCTCAGAGTCAAAAGGTTGTAGGTTCAAGGTTCATATTGGAACATTCCCTGGCTTCGAAGTAAGACCAACCGAATTCATGAAAAGTAAAGGAGACGAGCTTACCTGGTTAGCAAATAGTAAGTGGCAGACAGTAGTATCGTTTGGGTCCTTTACAACTGCTCTGATCAGCTGCAGCATAGGAGTTATGCCTGAAATGATGCAATGTTGTTTTAGCCTCAAAATGCAAAATAAATAGCAAAAACAAATATGGATCAATAAGAACAAAGCTGTTGCTGGATTACAAACATCGTAATTCTCCCACAAAATCCACAGTCAATTCACTTAACAGCATATTCTGTGAATCGCTTTGAGATGTCAAGACAGCATTATAAGGTGCTATATCAAATGCAAGGATTATTCTACTAGTCATACAGAGGGAGTGAGTATGAACAAACCAGATTCAACAGAATCTGTGGGATGGGATGCAATACTGTTAAAGATTGCAGTGATTGGTGGAGTGAGGCTGTGATGAGATTTGAATGAAAATCCAAAAATTGTGGGCTAGAGATCCAGGCAAATCTGGCATGGATGGGAATGATACAAGTGTAGGCAGGACAGGACTTAGACCAGAGTATTAAATGAATATTAATTCAACTGACAGTACTTACCAGTTCCACCTGCAATCAATCCCAGGTATTTTGCCGTTTTGATCTTTGGCTCAGACTTCTTATCAACACGAATAGCAAACCGGCCTTTAAATTATAGATATGTTTAGTCACTGAATGCACATGAATAGTTATATTTGTTTCCATGCCAGATCAATAAGAACACTACCAAGAGTTTATCAATAGAGGGCAGGAGAGTGCTGTACGTACAGCACCATGCAGCAAGTCAGTTTATCTAAACAATACAATTTACATACAGTCAATGTTACTACAAAAAGATCACAAGCTTCTATTGGGGAAGGGGTGAAAAAATGAGCCACCCAGTTATGGGTTGAATAAACAGAGCACAACTTGGGATAGTGTATGAAGCTGCAAGAAAAACATGTTGTGGTTGGCTGTTGTTTAGTTGAAAGGTAACCCAACTGCTGCAATTTGAATCTATGGGAAAGATAAGAGTCATAAATGCTTTGGATCAGTGCTTGGCCAATCCTGCATCCCAAATCATTGAAAGATTGATATTTACCACACTTTATTCTGACCGACTGAGGCCTGGGAACGGCAGATGAACAAAATATTTAAACCTTGCTGAATCAATCACAACTGATTCATGTGACAAAGCTTAGGACTCGATCGCTTCACAAACATCCTTTAAATGAGACAATAAACCAAGGTCCCATTTGCCCAACTCGAAAATGTAAAAATTTTCAACTCGAAAAAATGGTTGTTTGTGTGACATTGCTGTGTGCAAATTGGCTGCCACATTCGCTCACAAAAAAGCAATCGCTATACTTTATAGTATATCCTATGAAGTTATTTGGCATATCTTCCTGACATGAACGGTGCTATACCAAATACACTATCATATTACTATTACTATTATTATGTTATATTTATGGATCAACTGGTTCTAAACTGATTTTAAAAAAAGTATAAATTCAGGTATCTGAGCTATGGGACTGGCAGTTAAAATGATTTTTTAGATATTATCAATATTAAAAAGATGATTAAAATGTACCCAAATAAAGCAGATACACACATATTCTTGTAACAGTTTGAGGTTGGCATTGATTCTTAAGTATAATTTAAATCTAAATACATGACTAATTTTCTTACTGAATTTTCTTACCTTTGCCTTTGTAGACAAGCAATCCACTGGGCCCTCTGAAGTCAATAGTGTCCCCCAGTCTCAAGCTCTCCAGGTACTGTGACATCTTACCTCCATTAGGGTAATTCGGATGAACTCCTTTAAAGTAGACCTAAAGAGAAGGACTGAAATAGTTATACAAAAATATAGGCGAGGTGACAGTGTCAAGGGTTGTAATTGTATTGTTACCTACAAATACACAGTCGGTGCATGGTTACTACACTTCACATTGGGTCAGAAGGTTATGGATTCAAGTCCCACTTCAGGACTTTGAGCTCATAACAGGATTTCCTGAACACAATTCTTTCAGCAAAATGGGCTTAGCATTTCTCGCCTGTGCAATGGGTTTGTTGCCTCACTGTCTAAATACAGTCACTCAAATAAGCTAAGGTGAAGATCCCCACCAGGTAAAGGCAGCCATCACCGATAAGAATACATTTACATTTTCATTCGTGTTTGTGGGCGACTGTTTACCTTAACTACAAGATCCACACATCCCTTGTCGTCATCACTGGAAACGGGTGTGTATGGCCTGACAACAAGCTCGCCATCAATCCTTGCAGATAAGTAAATGTGTTGTCCTGTAAAATAATCAGCTGGTGGTCACCTCTCGAGTCATTGCGCCCATTGAACCAGTCTCAAAACCAAGCTGCTTACTTTCAGTCTGCACAAGCAGTGAGCACTACTAGGACAGCTGGAATAGGACCACAATTGTATTGTTCAGTCTGATGCAGACAGAATAATACATCTCTTAATACATCCTACAACTAACCTGCTTATTTTCTCTGTTTTATATATTTCTTATATTCCTAGGTTTAATCCATCCCTTCCCCTGTGCAGCAAATTACGTACAGCAATGTCGTACAAACAGTCACGGATTGAGTGACTAAATTATTAACCCCAGAGAAGCGATCCGTCAATCGACTAACCACTGGGTTCCTGCTTACTGCTTACTGTTTACTGGTAAACAGAGGTGTGCGGAGCAAGGAAACTTGCTCAGAAACTTGCAGAGAGCCTGGCTGAGCTCATGTGCGAGAGGAATCACAAGATGGTGTCCACGTCACAACGCACCAATATGCTCCACTATCAGGCAACCTCGCAGGCAGGTTCTTTTATCTGGATGATCTCTTATGGACTGCAGTTTAAAAAAAAGCCTTCTAAATCTCATCATCTGTTAATATTTTAAGTAGCAAAACAAAATGATGGACATATGCCCCAAACAATTTCTGGAGCTGGTACTTGATTGCTCTTTATATTGAAACGTGCAGCAAGAAGAGTATGTCAGGTTTAAACAGTTGATTATAATCAGGTCAGACTTACCAATAGGCAAACCTAAAGTGTGCTGTGGAGAGGGAAGAGCAAAGCGGAATCTTCGTGTGTCACGGCTTACGATCTGATGGGAGTCCAAACAGAAACACGTTTATGAAGGAGTTTGATTTCAACGCCACAGCGTGCTGCTGGGGCCAGGATAATCCGATTTTAGGGCATGTAACTGGCAATGGTGAAAAATGCTACACTGTAATGTTAGATTGATAATCCGGCATTTCATTCAGGTACTTTAGAAGATGAGAGTTCACAGAGTTTATTGTTACCTTAAGTAAGCCATCGCTACAGCGTGATTGATTTTAAACAAATTAGGTAGGGAGTCAATATTTTGCAAATAAAAAAAAATCAGCATTTATTTCAGGGTAGGTCATACAGCCAGGTCACTGGGGTTTTGTAGGTTTCAACAGTTCTTTGAGATTTCTAAGTATGCCAACATCATCCATGAAAACAGTTCTGATTTTTTTTATTGAAAAGGAACAATGCCCTAATGGTAGTCGTTAGGCAGAGGTAATGATCTTTGTTTTTCTGAAGTAAATTGACATTCTTCGATCCAAATTGTAAAATGTGGATTCAGAAGTCAGCGAAAGTTCTGATTGAAAACGTCCCGAGAGAGAGAAAAAAAATGTTCGGACAAGTTGTATCTGATCAGAATGGATTAGAGAGTGAGCATCAAAATGGTAAATTCTTAAGTTTTATCCTCCTTTGGGTTCAACCCTCTCCTCTATATCACTGTGTGGCTAATGCCAGGCTAACAAGACCTAAGTTGATGGTTAAGAGATGTGCCAAAGGACACTAAGCCTTTGATTTTCTCCTTTCCTTTTTGAGCAATCATTTGGCTTCACTTCAGGCCCTTGACATCACAAACCAGGAACTTTTTCCATGTTCCTCCCCATGTTAAACTCAGTCAAGCATCCTAACATTTCACAGAAAGGTTCATCAGAGCAGCGTTCAGTAGAATAATAATTTAATATATATTCATAAAGCATTTGTTCATCTCCGTACCCAGTAGTTTCAAGTCTTTGTGTGGTAACTCACTGTCTAAATCGGGACATAGAGATTTGTAAAATGGTGGATCAAATTGATCTGAAGTGAGTAATGTACACAGTAATATCCTTGACAGGTGGCAATGATGCAGCTTTAATGCATAAAACAAACATTAGCCATTAGTTCATTTGGAACTGGTAAATATTCAGGTAGCTAGACAACCTTTTTACATGGAGTTCTGCCAAGAACTCTATATCCACTAAAAGCTTTGTACTTTTGTTTATTATCAGAGCAAAATTATTTTAACCCTTTCATTCCTGCAGCAATATTCCACTTGTTAAAAAATGTGGGTATTCGTGTAATAAGGGAAAGGCTTAATTGTGAATATTGCCTGGAATATTTTCACACTCTGATGCGTAACAATCCCCCCAAAAATTCAAAATTGGCTGTCAAGTTTATACACAAAATATACAGTCAATTCACTTTCCATTTTGAGAAGCGCTGTGTGGCATTTCAATAGTGTGATAAGGGGCTAAATCAAATGCACGGATTATTATTATTATTATTTAGACAAATGACTTACTTCTTTATCAATCAGCCTTAAAGGATATTTGAGGTTTGGATCCTCAAGTGTGATTGGTGGACCGCTTGCTTTAAGATTAAATAGTTTCAGAAGAAAATCAATCACTCCCGACAGTAATGATTTAAGCACCTGTAAAAGAAAAAAAAAGTACATTGTTCAATAAAATCCTAAACAGATTAATTGTAATTAAGACGGATTGGTATTTTTCTTGTTTTAAAAAAAATTGGATGCAGATACCAACTATTTACCAACTCACTCTTGTGTTCAAATCCCTTCACTCCTGGCACCTCCCCACCTCTCCGACCTCCTCCCTCCCCAATCCACCACCCGGCACTTCCGCTCGACTGGCACCGGCCTCCTGCTCGTCCCTCCCACCCTCCGCCCCACCATCGGAGGTCGTGCTATCAGCGACTACGCCCTGAAACCCTGGAACATTTCCCTCATTCCCTCCTCCTTCCCCTCTCTCTCCCCTCTTTCAAGTCTTGCCTGAAGACTTTCCTCTTCAACTGTGCTTACGGCCACTTACCCCCTCCCCCTGGGCTGTTAAGCGCTCTGAGATGCCACCCTGCGTGGAGGGTGCTATATAAGTGCAAGTTGTTGTTTTTAATCCATGTAATACTTCGGGCAAAAGAATGTACATCAGTGACATTTTGACAAACCTGGAAACAACAGTTTGCAAACTAACAATGTTTACCTTAAATTGTAAAATTCAACAATTTTAAATTCACTCTACAGTATACTCTGTGAAGCGCTTTGAGACATCTCAATGACGTGCTAAGGCACTATATCAAATTATTATATTATAAACGCGAAAGGTTACACAACGGAAGTGCAGAGGATCTTAAAAGGTAGTGAGATCAATGAATATTAAATAAACCATAAGTGGGGCTGGTTTTTAGCCATTAAGCAAAAAAAACTTATTCTGCAATAGTGTCACAGTATTCCAAAATCTAGAGAGAGTTTCCAGAGACCAGGGTGGGCCTCAAAACCCAGTACAAGAGAAGAAAGAATTGATCTGCAAGATGAGGTTCAACAACTACTTTGCTCATTCCCTTTTAATAATAATCCTTGCATTTGATATCGCGCTTTGCACGTCTTCCAGACATCTCAAAGCGCTTCACAGAATAGACTGTAAAGTGAATTGACTGTATATTTGTGGGCGAAACGCACAGCGATGTCCTACAAACAGCCGTAGATTGAAAATGACCAATTTTCAATTTATTATTATTGGAAAAAATGACCTAAAGTTACAGCCAAAGAGGTACATCTGAAGGGGGATCTTGAACGAGGTGAGGGTCTCCGGGATGAAGTTCCAATAAGCTCCAGAGAGCGGGGGCAGAATGTCTGAAAGCCCACCCGCCACTGGGGGGACGGTTAAGGTGCGGACGTGAAGAACGCCGATGTTCCCCGAGTGAAAGGAGTGGCGACAACCAATGATGTTTTGGAAGAATGAGTAACAAAGGGAACCAGGACGCCGTCAGCAGGTACAGTCCGTTTGTTACTGCTGTTAAAACAAGTTGGATCAAAGTGGATCAAAGCCAATGTATTCCAGCGCTTCAAACTATTTATTCCACGTCAGTGTACAGCTGCTGCATTTGCAGACCCACTGGGTGGAGTCAGACATTTATTCCAATACATTTCGAGCCTCATTTGCACACAAAAAATGGCAACTATGTACTTTCTGACATGACTTCCCGGGGCGTTGTCCTGATCCAGTGCCCAGTAAATCCCACTGACTAAACAACCAGAGGATATCAAGTGAAACAGGTTAGCAATGGCCGCATCAACACCACGTATGGGTTTCTAAGTTTCAAAACGGAAACACTGGTGCAAAACAGTTGTGGCGGCGGTTTTTTTTCTCTCGGGGGAGAAAGGGGGAAATAAGAAACAGTAAGTCCCGCGGCCACAGCTTTGCCTTTGCAAACAACGCTGGAGAGTACATTCGTGAAGGCGTTTCCAGCACACGCACACGCACACACACGCAAACACACGCGCACACGCGCGCACACACGCACACACGGCTCCGTCCGTCCACCCCGGGAAAAAAAACGTATTCGCCCGCGCGAAGAAAAAAAAACACAGGACGAGTCAATTCCCTTCACAGCGTCGTCTGCGAAGCGCTTTGAGACGTCTCGGAGACCCGATGAGGTCCTGTATCAAAGGCAAAGATTATTTTATATATATATATATACACACATATATACACACACAACACAACACAGCGCCGCGAATGTTTGCACCGTCTAATATGCACCGCGTCAAGAAGAAAACCAATGCAACAACAACAACAACAACAACACGACCTCCCACCGCTTACCCCAATCACATAGGACAGCATTGTGCCCCCAACACACACTGTGTCCCCTCTCCCTCTCCTCGACACAAAGTGGCTGCTGTGTGTCTGCGGCCTCCAGTCCCGCCTCCGCCGCCTCCCCATTGGTTGCTCCAGACCCCGCCCCCGCCCTTCGTCCTGCGCGCTCATTGGTTCCGGTCGCTCGGCGTGAGCTGACGGACAGCCGGCTGTAACCAATCATGGCACGGGGCGGGGGCCTGGGCGGGGGTATGGCGGGGGGCGGGGCATGGCGGGGGGCGGGGTCTATGCTGAGGGAGGGACACATTGTAGCCGTTTGTGACGTTGTGTGGAACAGAGCGGACCATGGCATCAGGGTGAGTGTGTCTGTGTCTCCCTCTCTGTCTCCCTCTCTGTCTCTCCCTCTGTCTCCCTCTCTGTCTCCCTGTGTGTCTCCCTCTGTCTCCCTCTCTGTCTCCCTCTGTCTCGCTCTGTCTCTCTCTCTGTCTCTCTCTCTGTCTCTCTCTGTGTCCCTCTCTGTCTCCCTGTGTGTCTCTCTCTCTGTCTCCCTCTCTGTCTCCCTGTGTGTCTCCCTCTCTGTCTCCCTCTCTGTCTCCCTCTCTGTCTCCCTCTCTGTCTCCCTGTGTGTCTCCCTCTCTGTCTCCCTGTGTGTCTCCCTCTGCACAGATGGCTTCAGGTTACAGACGCGGTGAATAAGGATCGAATAACGGAACCACTTTCTTAGACTTTTTCTTTCTCTCTCTGTGCGTCTCTCAGTGCCTCTCCTCCAAGAAGATCCGTTACTGACCGACACACCCAGTGACTGTGTGTGTGTGTGTGTGGAGTGGGGGGGAGTGGGGGGGGGGAGTGTGTGTGGGGGGGAGTGTGTGTGGGGGGGAGTGTGTGTGGGAGTGTGTGTGTGGGGGAGTGGGAGTGTGTGGGGGTGGGAGTGTGTGTGGTGTGGGGGGTGGGAGTGTATGTGGGTGTGTGTGTGTGTGTGGGGGGGAGTGTGTGTGGGGTGGGAGTGTGTGTGTGGGGGGAGTGTGTGTGTGGTGTGGGGGGTGGGGAGTGTGTGTGTGGTGTGGGGAGTGTGTGTGTGTGGGGGGGAGTGTGTGTATGGTGTGTGTGGTGGAGCTGTGCAGAGACTCCAATCTCTTCATCTGGGGACCATATGTCTCCTATTAGATCACTGGGGAAATCCCCCCCCCCCCCCCCCCCCCAGGGCTGCACACACTAACTCTTATTCAGTTGCAATGCAAACCCACCACCTGCTGTTGTTCTACGCTGCACTTTTTTTTCTGTGGCTGCTCAGTCGCTGCTTATTTTCGCTTTCGAGCACTTACTCTCCGGCGACAGTTGGCACCGAGTTTTGTGGTGGTTTTTGTTGTGTGTGTGAGGAGCGCCGTTCTGAGTTGGTGGAATAATTCAAGCCGCCAATCACGCTTATTCATAATAATGATGATAATAATCCTTGCATTTGATATAGAGCTTTTCACGTCTTCTAGACTTATCGCAGACTTACTTTGTTATTCAACCCCTAGTGGTCACAGTTTTTCTTTTGCTTTCAAAAAAATATTGGTTGAGAGCGTTGGCCGTTGTTCTAGACCGAGGGCAACCAATTACCAGTGATCGCTTTACTATCAATGCTCCAGATCAACATTGGTCTTGTACTTCATGACTGTGGGACGTTTTTGTGCCAAAATTAACGCCTGTGTTTGCCTACGATTTACACTGTAGTATAATGCTTAAAAAAAACTTTGCAATTAATATTGTGCCTTCACGTTGGGAGTACATTTCAAAGCACTTTACAGGATTTAGTGTAAAACTGTAATGACTGTGTACTTTGACAGCGAACACAATAGTCGAATTGTGTACAAAAACGTTACACAAGCAAACGTGAAGTGAATGACCAATTTAATTTGGGGGATAGCATTTCAAATAGTGCCACAAGATCTTTGATGTCCACCCGAACAAGGAGACAGGACCTTATTTAATGTCTTATCCAAAGGACGGCATCGCAGAGTGCAGCATTCCCCCCGCGCTGAGAATAAATAAATATAGGCTAAGAATCCTCTCTTGGGTGAAAACCAGGAGGTTTTTGATGAGCACGAGCTCCTTTGATGGCAGTGCATCCGTTGCTGCCTTTGAGCAACTTCTGCTTTTCTTTTTAATTTTAGGAACTCCATCCTCTTCAGCAGTATTATCATTGCCTGTTGATGTAACTTTCAGATTTTGTGTGGTCTCTAAACCTCAATCACGAGGGAGACACAGTGAGTGAAGTGTAGATCAGAAGCTGATCGGTGTGGGTAAAGTCAGTAGATAATAAGTATATTTAGCTTCGAGAGACGTATTAATTTGTCGGTGCATGTTGCAGCTTATAATGAAAACGTTTTGCAGTGGATTATTTTTAATTCCTCGAAGCTGAAATAGGATTGGAGAGAAAAATACTAGAATAATAATAAAAAATAATAATAAGACCCCAAACACACAGTAAACTGTGGTTTGTCATCTCAACATAGACACAGAATCAAATTAGTTTTCTCTTTATCTCTTTTTTTTTCCAAACGGATGCATTCCAAACCATCCAGGTGTTCAGTGTACACATTTGAAGTGTACTGTCTTTTCTGTCAATGTTTTAAAACAGTTAAAGTTTTCCCACGATGATTACACTTCTGTGCATGATATAATGTTGTGTTGGATTCTCACGGTTCTCTTGTTCACCAAATGTTCCGGTAAGAGGAGTGAATGTTTTTGTGAGCGCTGTTCAGGTAAAGTTGTACGAGTACTTTGTTAGGGTTAGTAATTTAAGGAACTAGTTTTTAAAAGGAAATCTCAAAATGTGCAAAAAAAAGAGGGAATCATCATTCAGGTAAACTTCAAATTTAATTGGTTGTGGTACTAGTCTGGAATTAGTAAATCTAATTTTAAAAATGTAATGAATTTCTCTTATGCACTGCTGCTTATTATTGTATTGCTGTTCCTTCTAAAGGCGATATTGAGATTAGCAAAATATTAGTCAATATAGCAGTTGGCCCATAACTTTCTGCAAATATGAATAATTTCTTTTTATGACTATGTAAATATTAACTAAACCTTACCTTAGAGCTCCTTTATAAGACTGTCTGTGGAAATGGTGCAGAAATATTCAGTACAGTATGTAGTGAAATTCTTTGCTGGCTAGAAAAATGTTTAATAAAATGTTATATTTACACAATTTTATTCATGCAGCCTAACCTTCAATCAATTTTCTTACTATTGATGGATGGTATGTGTCAAAATCAGAAATTGAAATATAATTGTCTCAATAATTCCACTCCTGACCTTTTTATAAAACTAAAATTGACTATGGTTGTAGTTCCTCAAAAATGTTGAGGGAATAAATACATCCACGTGCAGTTTTAATTATATATAACTAACTAGCAGCCTCCTACTGCTGTCTGGCTGCCCGGTTTCTTGTAGTTGCATGGTACAGGGGACCTGAAGAAGGTCAGTGCCTACCGAGCGGAGGGAACGGGCAGGTTGCCAGAGTTTTAGAAAGTGGGGCAAGACTGTTTGCTATTGTCGGTGCAATTTAACATAGCTAGTCACGGCTTACAATTAAAGCCGTGGTTTCTGAGGATGCCTTACTTACTATGTTTGCCTACAAAAATACCCAGTCACTGCACTCTACAGTAAATCACATGGAGTGCTTTGAAACATTTTGACGGTGTGATAATGCGCTATATCAAATGCAATTATTATTATTATCAACAAAGGATGTATACATAACAGGCTTGCTTGCTGTGTAATTTGCTGCTATGCGGGCAACGTCAGGGTGGAAAAAGTGATGAGTTTTAATTTGTCGTTCATAAAAATAGCCTTGTTTCATACTCTTTTTCCAGACAGGAAATAAATCATGAACTTTCAAAGATCTTCAATGAACTCTGGAAAGCAGATGAAAACCGATTTGAACCATGCAAGGATTATGAAATCGCAGTGCAGGTGTGTTTTCGTGGAGTCCTGTAGCGTATTGGGTAGAGCGCTCACCTCGCAAACTAGAGAACCTGGGTTTGATTCCCGTGCAGGGCGAAACGTTAGACAAGTTTCCTTACTCACACGCCTCTGGTTACCAAGCAGTAAGTAGGAACCCAGTTGCTAGTGGATTGGCAGATCACTTTTCTGGGAGTAATAAACCCATTAAAAGAAATATATATTAAAAAAATAATAATTTGGTCACGCAATCCAGGACTGTTGTGCGCAATTGGCTGCCACATTTCGCCCACAAAATATACAGTGAGTTCACTTTACAGTATATTCTCTGAAGCGCTTTGAGATGTCTCGAAGACACGGGAAGGCATTATATCAAATGCAGGGATTATTTTTAAATTAAAACTTTATTCCCAAATTTTTTAAGGAGCAAATTTTAATTCAATATGATTTTAGTTCACATTACGCTGGACAGGTACAGACTGACCCTATTATAACGTAATAGTTTTGATCCATAAACTGAGGCTGCACAAATATATATGGTCGCCATGGCTTCTGGCTTGTGGCATCGCCACTGACATTTTCTACACTATTGCAAAGGAAGCCCCCAGTGATGTTGTTTCCTGTGCACAGCCTATGCACCGGAAGACAGATAGTCAGCACCCAAAGCCAGAAGTGTACCAGACTTTGGGTATACGACCGCAACTGCACTAAAGTGCAGCATTACAGGGTCGGTCTATATCACAAAACAAAAATCAACAAATTGATAATTGATCCATCAAATAATTATCCTGCTGAAGTAGGCATTCTGAAGTGATTCCATTACCCATTAGGGTTCCAAGTGTTGATCTACAAATCCTTTCATGCTCAGGCCCCACTCTCCTCTTCCCCAAACTCGGACTTACTACTTGTTGCTTGCCTCTTCTGTCCCACCATTGAAGATTGAGCATTAAACCATTCCATTATATATAATATATGTAAGCACAAGTTGTTGAATGGGAGAAAAAAGTGTCATTTTGCTATTGATTGCCCTTTAATATCAGACTCAAGTAACGTTAACAGAGGCCTGGGACCACCCTGGCAGGTGGGAAGAATTCAAAATGTTGATTAATTTAAAACTATTGTAGCTGAATGGATGCTAACGAGAGAGAATTTGGAGAAACAACAACAAATTACATGTGTTTCGCGCCTTTCATGCTAGGATAATGTCCCAAGGCACTGGACAGTCAGGGATTTGGCCCAAGCTGTGGGTTGGGATCAGGAGGGGTGGAGGGCAGGGAGGGTAGGTGTAGGAGGGTGATCGATGATGCGGTCGAAGAGGAGGGAGGTGGGCCTTGAAGGAGGCAAGGGAGGGAGCGAGGCGAAGGGGCTGTGGGATGGAGCTCCAAAAGATGTAGGCGGAAATGTTAATTACGTCACACATGGAATTCATTGTAGAAGCTGAATTCATTGTAACGGCTGATTTTCTTTTTCCTGCAGGGAAAGGCATCTTATGTCAGCCACGGAAGCAATAATGCCAGAGATTGTGCTTCCAGACCACTGTTTTCCAATGTGAATGAGGAACGTTTACGGCAGACAAAGACCTATGCAAGTATGTTGTAAGGGTTGCAATGTAAATACAATAGTTGCTAACTTTTAAGGCAATTGTGGAGAAATTAAAATTGTGATATTTTTGATGTTTATGATACAGTCCGATAATTATAAACAAAGATCTCATCGGATATTTTTGTCGTTCTTCCATTTAAAAAAAAATGATACAGGTTATTATAATAATAATCTGATATTCAGAGGTTTTTACACTAATTTTGCTCTGAGCAGATTAAGATTGCTTACGTCCCATTTCCTGTGATATTTTCCTATTGTACGCTTTATAAACTTGAGAAGATACAACTTTTCTCTGATGAGGCTGGAGGAAAGAGGGAGGGGAAATATTACCAGACAATGTAGTAGTCTTGATAAGAGAAGAGTGGAACACTGTTCCATCGATCATAATCGAGAACATATCCAGGATTGTTTAGGGGAAAGGAATGGGAGGTTGGCCCAGTCTGAAGGGAAAACAAGATGGGGGTTGGGCTGATCCTGAGCAGAAACTGGAGGAGGTGAGTTACATATAAATAAAGATGTATCTACCTGTTCCTTTAAGCTGCTGGAAGTTAGGTTTTACCCTGCACTCTACAGGCAATGGACCGGGCTATAGAGGCAACTAACTAGAATTTTGTCATGGAGTTATCTTACAGAGGATGGAGCAGAAAACACAAATATGTTGGGAAGCAGCAAGTTACCAGCTCTACTCTGTTTTTTTGAAGAGATAACTGGTAAACCACATGCAAATTTCTTGCATATGTTTTCAACTCTCCTGAAAACTGGCAAATATTTAGTCTATGAGACTATTACTTCCCACGAATCTCACAACAATTAAATCTGTAAGGAAGGCGTTGATCAGTCAGACAAGAACCAATACGATCCAGACAGGTCATGGAAAATGGAGCACAGCAACACTTAAAACAGAGTCGAGGTTTAAAAAAGACATTGGAGCCTTTATGTTAAAAAGGTTAAAAAAANCTCTTCTGTCGAGATGAAAAATAGATACAGTTTTGAAGTTCTTTGAGGTTGTCCTCTTCATTTGAATATTATAAGAAAATTTTAATATTTAATCTTTAGCATTCATTGCGTTATTGGACAACTATGAAATGTCAACTGGAGTTGCTGAGGTGGTGACTCGAGATGAAGTAAAGGAGAACAATCGTTTTCTCGACGCTATTCTGGAAACGAAAGTCATGCAGGTGGGTTAAAAGCAGATAATCACTTGAAAACACAGCCGTTCATTTGTCTGGTATTTATAAGAAACGGCAATTCTCCCTCAGCGTTGTTCGAAGTGTTTTGGCTATTCAAGACACGATGGGCTAAGTGGCCTTCTGTGCTGTAAATTTCTATGGTTCTAAGCTTCCTCTTCCATAAGCCATGCAAAACCTTCAAACCATGCAAACCTTATTTGCATTCCACTCCACCCAATCTTCCTTTGGGATTCGGGTCATTCTCTGTGCAGAGCTTTCCCCCAGAAGATATCTCGCTATACTGTTCTCAATGATTAGGCTCAACAAATCTGCACTTTCCACAAATCATGCAAAAAACTGCCTCTCATAGATTTCACCCTCACCTAGTCTGTGTTTGAGAATCCAAGCAACACTACCTGCGGAGCTCCCCCCACCACAAGAAATAATGAAGCAAACAATTTGCAAACAATATAGTTCACCTTCCTAAGAGTCTAACAATTTGCATACTGTGTAATTTGCCGGCCTAAAATTGTTGATATTAAAACCTGACTGTCTTTGTACAGACAGAAATTGCCCTTCCCTTGCTGCTTGGCCCTTGAGGTATAGAACCATTGTTTTGTGGAGTGTTTGTTCACTACAGTCTTTTTTTCTGGTCCGCTGGGTTAACAATGCAGAAATCCATCTCCTCGTTTAATTCTGCAGAGTGTTCATCACGGGCTGACAAAAGCCAAGGCTTGGGGACCCCAGATTGCGCTTTGGAGTCTAACCAGCTAACACCACTCAGCACTATCTGGCAAGCTTTCCCGCTGCTTGTCCAGCCAGGACCACCCTACCCGGTAGGGCTTTGGCTTGCAGGGTTAACAGGAGCTGAGTGAGAAGCGTCCCTGTCCCCAGTGACTGGTCTGATTCTAACATTGCATTGCCAAACATCTTACCTCGGAGCCAGTTCAGCTCCAAGGAGACCCCACATACCCCCTTACCACCCCCACCCCCTCCCCGCCACGGAGGATATTCATTACAGTCCACACCATCTCCTTCAATTCTGTTCCCAAGCAAGTACAGTATTTCCAATTCTTTTTGGGTGCCAATATTTATAGTAACCTGAGCAGTAAATGTAAAGTCAGGTATCTTCATCTCAAATGATCTTTGCACAAATACTTTCTTTTCAGTTAACTCATGATTATCTTCTAAGCAAGAATCTTACAAAGGCTGATCCGAGGGAATTCAAGCAGCATCTTTACAGCATCTGGTTTCAGCTCTATTCAAGAGGACAGGGTCGTGGGTATGTTGATCTTTTTGTAGCAGAAGAGCTTTGCAGCTGTTGTTTAATTCTTAAATGACGAATGTGTTTAATAGCACAGCTATAATTGTTACAGTCATATATTCCCGTTCATCAACATTAAACTCGTTTTTTCCCCGACAGTTTTGAATACATTTTTAAAAAGCTCTGAGAATGGAAATCTTAAAATGTGTTAGTTAATGTCTTATTAATAGTCATAAAATGCTGTAAACTATTAACTTTGTGTCTTTAAGAGCACCTCATGGTCTCCTATTTCACTAAATGTTGCAAAGATCCGAATGTAACTGAATCATTACAAACATGGAGTGTGTGGGGTTCAACCCCTGATCTTTCCTGAGGTTGCCGGGTTGACAACATTTGACCACGGTTACCTTGACTATGGAGGGAAATGATTGTTGATCAGTTACAGCTCCTATTTCTGATCCCCATGCAATGATTTCTGCTGGAAAGTACATATGAATGGATGTTGGACTCAGCTGTCACAACTGTGATTGATTACCCTCCCGCTAGATGTTCTGTCTGTCATGGCTCTTAGGCAAAGTACCAGAGGGTAGCCCAGTAGCCATACAACTGTGCCTCAACGCGCTTTGGAACTTTTCAGTCGAAAAAAGGAACAAAATTGGAGCGGAAATAAACTAAGCAAAATAATTGATGCAATGCCAACCCACTGAGTGTCTCCCCCACTCACCCCCCACCCCCCCTGTTTCCTGCAGCCCAGACTCTTCGGGTTTTGAGCACGTCTTTGTAGGAGAGACCAAACGAGGAAGAGAAATCATGGGGCTCCATAACTGGGTCCAGTTCTACCTGCAGGAAAAGCGCAAGAATATTGATTACAAAGGATTTGTGGCAAGAAGGAACAAGAATAAGGTGGGAACAATTGTTGTCAGCACACAACAAAATCTGTTTGATTCCATCTCGGGTGTTGCAATTTGTTTTGTGAAACAAAAATCTTGAACTGCTTATAATTTTGGTTTCCTTGTTATCCTTGCTTGCAAAGGACAGTGACATTCAAGGCTCGACTAGTAGATATTTTGAGAGATTATGATTAATTGGGCTTTCAAGGCAAGTCAGTAACCAGGGAACACAACAACAATATTAAATTACATTTGTACAGTGCCTTTCACATCAGAAGGACATCCCAAGGACCTAAGAATATAGGTAGCAAGTAGGGGATCCAAAAGAGGAGTTAGGAGGAATTTCTTCACGCAGAGGGTGGTGAGTATGTGGAGCTTGCTGCCCAGAGTGTTGGTTGAAGCAGGCGGTATGGATGCATTTAAGAGGAAGCTAGTTGTACACATGAGGGAAAAGGGAACAGAGGGTTTGGGAGGGAGTGAGGAGTCAGTGGAAACTCATGTGGGGTATAAACACATTCATAGACTATTTGAGCCAAAGGGCCTGTTTCTGTGCCGTACAGCCTGTGTAAATCTTTGCAAATACTATTGTATTCGGTCTGCTGCTATTCAGAATTTTTTGCAGAATGCATGAGAGTAAATAAACCTGATTTTGTGCATCTGATGCACATGCTCCAAACCAAGCAAAAAGCTTAACACTTCACACACACACACCCTTGATAATTGTAAACTTCCAGCATGAGACAAATGGCCAGACACTGATTTAGAATTTTACTCTTCTGCCTGAGATATGAAAGGACTGTACGACTTGGTTGTGTTAATGAATAAATTGGTTTTGGTTTTCTTTTCTCTCCCTTTCTCTCTGGTTTCCTTACAGCCCGATGAGGATGACCATGTTTTGAATCTGCAATTCAGCTGGAAGCATATGGTGAAACCTATCGGGAGTTCATTCATTGGGGTGAGTCCAGAATTTGAATTTGCCCTCTACACGATCTGCTTCCTTCTGTCCCAGGATAAAGTCTCGCGTGAGCTGGTGTTGGTGGATGAGTATCACCTGCAGATTGTTGTGTACCGCCACGGACGGTACATCGGAACATCGTACCCAGTCCTTCTGAGCAGCAATAATGTACCTTTGGAATAAGTCTCCAGAAGCTTCTGCACACAATTAGGTCCACCGTAGAGGAACAAACCTAGCACATTTATTTGGTACTTTAATGTATTGAATAACAATAAGTTCCTTACAACCATGCTCGACTACAGTAAGTGTCTCTGCTCATTATAATAATAATAATAATAATAATAATAATAATCCTTGCATTTGATATAGCGCTTTTCACGTCGGGAGGACGTCCCAAAGCGCTTCACAGAATAGACTGTAAAGTGAATTGACTGTATATTTGTGGGCGAACGCGGCAGCCAATTGCGCACAGCAATGTCCCACAAACAGTCGTAGATTGAAAATGACCAATTTATTATTGTTTTTGGTTTTGGAGGGATTATTATTATGCCGGGAAACGGTACGAGTTTTGTCACAAAATTATTTGGGGAATTCACTATTTCATCAAATAAACTGACTGGATTTATTGTTCAGTAAATGACAATTAAATAATCAAATGCCCCCAACAACTGAAAGTCAATATTTCTTAAAAGCTTTCCAGCAGATATTTCCCTGTCATGCCCCATGAATTCAATTGGTGTCAAAAATTGCCCTCCTAATACCTAGATGTGACTTGTTTATCAGAAGCATATCAAAAGTATCCGTCCAGAAATGAAAACTTTTTTTTAAAAAGAAACATAGTGTACTCCCAGAAACATTTTGAATATTGGGAAAGCCTCCTGTCCCTTTATACGTTTATGGGAAAGTGTTTTGTTGCTTTGGCTCTCTAAATTAGAAATTATGGAACTGAAATGCTGCACTACCATATATTGCTTGAGATAATCACATTGTCCCAAATAGCTTGTGCCTTCTTTTGCTGCAATTACAATGCAGTAATAATTAATAGTCATTGAAATGACAGCTTGCAAGACCATGCTCATTCAATCATTATATTGGAATATGTGTTTTTTTTTCATTTTTCAGGAAACGG